TTAAGTAACAAGATTTGTGTAAAAATTCTTTCTCTTTTTTAAATTAGATAGGCTACATACAATCCAGTTTTTATGGAAATTTAATAGATAATATTTCAAGAAAGATATTTTGAGATTATTTCTAGATTTTATGATGAAATTGACCCTACAACGAAATCAACTATATATATACATCTACATATTTTTTGGAATAATTGTTTACACAATCCAACTTGAACTACAGTGGAATAAAACTCCAACACGCTCCAGGATTTTCAGGTTAAGCTGCAAGGTGCAAGTATCTACTTTGCTGAACAACATTTGCCTTAAAAAAGAAATACTACATCTTAGAATGAACTTAAAATTTAGACAAACTTGGTGAATAAGAGTGTATATTCATCAGTGAACCTACTAATTGCCATAACAATACAACAGAATCCCTCTATCATCTGATAAATTCATAAAACTATGTAATTATTGAAAATGTTATAATTACGTTGTATAATGGATTTATCGAACTATACAGGGATTCTGTGTATGACACCAGGTAAGTCCACTGATGAATATTCTTATTGGCCAAGTTTGAGAAGTTAAATTTCCTTATAAAGATTGATACCTACCTGTAGAGTTATCAAATAATGACTTATTTAATAGATTGAGAAAGGAATTATTTAATTCATCACCATTATTAACTACTGTAGTTGTAGTTTCACTAGTGTAACCTCCTCCCTGAAATATATAATATATACGCATACTTAACGAGGTCTAGAAAGATACCATGATCCTTTACTTTTTATCTATGTTGGATAAAAATAAATTTGTTTGCTTGTATTTTTCACTTTGCTCAAAAAGGCATGGAGTGCCTACTGCCTGAGATCTCCCTCGACAAAAATCTTATAATATAATAATATAATTTATTAAATGAGACAAATGCCTGACATCTGAATGCCCCTTTCAGAGTATATCTACAGAGTAGCCTATGTTATTTATTTATCAAAAACAAGATTCAAATAATTAGGATACTTATAGATTTGATTTCAACCAATTTATTTAGTTCCTCAATATTTTTAATGATAAATATGAAGTATAATGTTTACTTTGAGATAGTGGCAAATAGCCAAACTATTTTACTATTTATGTCATTCATTGTGGCTATCTGCCAAGCCAAAATCTTGTGTGACATACTTTTTAGGTCTAAACAAATAAAAAATATTGCCTTCTATTATTATTATAAGTAGAGTAAGGATATATTATTTAAATGAAGAGTTTTATCTATAGTCTATTATAAGTCAGAGCAATATTGAATTCCCAAAAAAGAATTAGCCAAGCCTAACCCTTTATCAATGTGGTTGCTGAATTGAAATTTATTTGTTACCTCACAATTATTCAAAACTTTTCAGCAATGTGTGTGTTATAATGTCATCAAGTTTAGAAAGAATTGGGGTTCCAACCAGAAATCCCTCCCCAAAATAATACAAGTTATAACAAGACACTTTTCCATTTTAGGAGAAACTGGGTCAAAAAATCAGAAAGCATCATCTATGATCCCTAGATAAACAAGAACGCATACTCTCCAATGCTCCCCCACTGTCTTTCAGGTTTTATAAATTGATTAATTGTAGGTCACTTTCTGACTTTCAGCCATTCTGTTTCACTTTCACCTTTTATCTCTGTCCATTCTTGGACTAAGTTATAATTGTTTAATGGCAGTAGTACAAGAAAGATAGTCTCAATCTTATTTGTAATTAACGTGAAAGCCCACACCAAGATCTTCAATATTGATTAGTATAGCTAGATAAAATATGTTAAGAATTTTACCTTCAACCTGTCCTATAGTAGACTTAATCAATTCATTGATTTCTACCTAGCTTTCTATCATACAACTATTTTATTGGGTCATTTTATAAAACATGGTTAGGAATTATCACTGTTATTGTATAGTAATTGAGGTCATAACTATGAATGTAATACCTAAATGTATTAGATTAAATAACCAATTTTATCATTAACCACTGCCATCAATTTATTACAGTGCCTCTCAGATGGAATAGATTAAATTAAACTATATTAATTTAAATAAAATTATAGTGCAGATCAAAACTGCAGATTTTTTCCTTCTTTTTATAAACAAATTTGATGCAAAGAATTATTTGCCTTATTTGAAGTCTTAGGTCAATAAAAAAATATTACAGTAAACAAAGATTTGCACATTTATTTTGGTCACTATCACATAGTTTTTAATCGTTAGAGGTGCTTAGGTAAAAAATCTTGTGGAAAATTTTTACAGTTAATTACAAAAGATCTTATAATGATATCTCAAATACTAAATTATGTTGGAGAAAACATGAAGATTCTTTCTCCACATAACCTGAATTGTATCAAAACCAAAGCTAGTAACTGCTGAAACCAAAACAATCAAGGACATAGATTTGTTATACATAATAAGGTGCAGTGAACAACACTTTCAACAAGAATGAATTCATACATTTGGACATTGTAGAGTACATTTCTATTTAATAAAATATACATGCGCCTCTTAGGCAATGAAATAAACTGGCTATGACAGTAATATAAAATAGATTATAGTACATAACTAGAATGCTCCAATAACTGTGAACAATAGCATTGTGACATTCTATAAATGTTTAAGTGATTATTAAGTACTATGTACAATTTGAGAAATTGAGGTAAACAATGCTGTCAATTATTATGGCTACCAGATGAATTGATAATATCAATGATAATGCCAACTTTAATAATTTTATAGCAATGTAACAATTTGGGCTACATTTTTTATTGTCTAATTGAATGAACCATAGATTGGAATTTGTTTTTATGTGACACAAGCTTTCAAAATGCTCACTTCTTCAGAATCAGTTTGTCTCTGACATCATTATTTTGATTGTAAACTGTTCAACCTAAGATATTCCAGCAAAGTTGTTTTTGCACATCTGGGTTCAATTTAAACCATAAAAACGAGCAGTGCTCTTTACATCTAGATATTGAATCTAACAAGCCAGTCTGTTAATGGGGTGACAATTGTCAAGTTTGAGATTCAAACTTCACATCCGGGATGTGCATCAGTGCATGGAGTGTCTGAAAAGGTCCTCCCTTAATAAATTTTTGAAAATAGAATTGATTTAATTTAAACAATATTTATTTCTCAAAATTATACAACCGATTCAGAAACAAGCGGGGCTTATTATATAAATCCGTCTCGGCTGTATAACATTACAAATTGTTAAGCAAATATGAATAAATATTACAGTATAATACATATAGTATAGATGGTGAAAGAAATTTCGAGGAATCTTGAAGGCTGCAATTATTCCAAAGAACGTCAGCGTAATCATATACGTACCGGAAGAATAAAATGTTTGTATAAAGTTTCTAATGATTTTCTAGAAATTCGATATTTGAGGCTTATCAATTTAGATGTTTTAGAAACTAGGTAATTAATATGAGCTGTCCAAGAACAATCTTTACTTAAAATTACACCAAGGTGTTTGTGTTTGTCTGAATCTTCTAAAAATGTTATTATTAAAATTTAAAGTAAAATTGGAGGGTTTTAGTTTTCGTGAAAAAGTCATACATTTTGTTTTCAGAGGGTTAAAAATAATTTTCCATTTCAGAGACCATTGATAAATCGATTCAATATCTAAATTTAATGTTTCACGACAAAGTGTCTGATCATCTATGCCAAGATAAAGCGATGTGTCGTCAGCGAAGAGACGAATGTTGGTATTAATGTTTTCAGTAATATTGTTTATGTATATTAAAATTAAAAGAGGACCCAAGACAGACCCCTGTGGAACGCCAGCTTATAAATACTGTTTGTCTGAAGTTTCTGATGACTGATTGACTGCGATTTTATACGTAGGATTGTAAAAGATATAAAAGGTTTCCTCTAATTCCAAGGGCATAAAGTTTATGTATGAGTCCTTTCAACCAAATTGTGCCAAATGCACGACTTATGTCAAAATATATCATTTTAATTTCTCCACCGCTATCTAAATTTTTAAAAATATCGTCATAAATTTCTAATAATTGATATACTGTTGAGTCTTTTCGAATGAAGCCAGACTGAAATTTGGTAAGAAGATTATTATTGATAAGAAAGTTATAAATATGGTTGTACATTAGTCTTTCAAAACTTTTCCAAGGGAACTTACTAAGGAAATAGGTCGATAATTTGAGCATAGGTTTGGGTTATCTTTCTTAAACAAAGGTATAACGTTGACATGTTTCCAAGTTTGAGGGAAATGGCAATGGGATTGAAACAGGTTAAAAAGAGCCGACAAAGGAGAAGCTAAACTTTTAGAACTAAGTTTTAATATGCAATTATTTATAAAATCTGGACCATCGGACTTCGAACAATCAAGAATTGATTTGGTGCATTGTTACACATATTTTGGGTTAAAACATCTACAAATTTCAAACCTTGAAACACTTGATGTAAAGTAATGGAGAACAGTTACTGTACCTGATGTGATGCTGGTGCAGTAGTAACTTGTAAATTAACTGATGTTAATGTTGGATTAGGAATTGATCCTCCACTATTTGGATCAGGACTGTATGGAGAATCCTAGAAAATTTTAAATCAAACAAATCAATAGGACATCATCAAGGCTTAACTCAAACATAACCAAATGTTCTTGGAAAAATACAAATTTGGGGTATCAGACCGTACATGATATAAGACAAAGTCTGAATAGTCTGAAGATAGTCTGTACACTGCCAGTTCTATCACCCTCAAACTTCAATATGTCGAGATACAGGGCTCTGAACTTTATGTACATTATTTGCCAATATTTAACAGTTGGTCTGGGAAGCCATTACTTTCAAAACATTTGATTGGTTTCAATTTTTTCCTTTGAATGTCAAAAGACACTGTTTCAAAATCAAAAGAGCCAAAGCCTATACTAATTGACCCACCCCAAGATGTTTTAATTATCTTAGAGAATACTTACTCGATCACCAGGTCTCCGTTTTTTATGTCGTATTGGTATAGGATCATCTGGTGGATTACTGTCTATTGCCCAATATGAACCCTAAAATATGTGACATAAGCTTATATATAAAGAATCAAAAGGGACAGGTTCCCATTTCCATGTCTGATTCGGGTTTTTAATAGATGTAAATAGTCTTCAGAATTACTATAAATGTACGGAAAAAATAAAATAGGAATTTCTCTTTCTATTTCTACATGTCTTTTCTCATGAAGAGTCATGAGAAAAGAAGTCGTTCTTTTTAACTTTTTAAATGCAAACAATATGACACACATGGATTTGAAAGCTCAAATTTCGATGGTGAGCTGTGAACACTATTACTGATTAGCTTAGCTAAATGGAATTTTAACTATTTCATCAATATATACAGTATTTCATTACATAATCAGACTTTGAATTGCTATATCCAATATGTCACCCATCAACCATTATAAAGATAGCTTGCCAGGGAAGGTAACATACGCCCACTGGCAGCTGGCATAAATGATAAAACAGTCTTTAGTGACTAAAGTATGAATTTTCTCATATTACAGAAATTTTAATAGTTTGAATTCATTGATATATATAGCCTCCATTGTGTTCAAAATTTTTTTTGCGTGTTTCCTAAATCAGGGGGCAATAACTCAAAAACCGTTTATCGAAAAATCATCAAATTCGAACTTGACCAAGATCTCATCAATATTAATGATCACACCAAATTTCATTAAAATCAGTTGAAAACTGTAGCCTCTATTGTATTTACAAACAAATTTTGACGCGTTTTTCATAAGTCAAGGGCAATAACTCAAAAACTGTTCCTCGAAAGATTGTCAAAGTTTAACTTGACCAAGATCTCATCAATATAAATGATCACAACAAATTTCATTAAAATCAGCTGAAAACTGTAGTCTCTATTGTGTTCACAAACAAATTTTGACACGTTTTTCATAAGTCAAGGGCAGTAAATCAAAAACCGTTCCACGAAAGATCGTCAAATTCGAACTTGACCAAAATCTCATCAATATAAATGATCACACCAAATTTCATGAAAATCAGTTCAAAACTGTAATCTCTATTGTGTTCACAAGAAATGTTGACGGACCAACGGACCGACGGACAAGGGCGACAGCAATATACGTCCACATTTCCATGTGGGCGTATAAAAATATAATAAGGTTGCCAGTGACGGTAGGGAAGCTAAACTGATACCTAATGGACCCAGCCCCAAACCAGACTGGTCCCCAAACTGTTGCCAATCCATTCACAACTAACACGGAACCCAATGTTCGAAACTTTTTCGAATTTCTGGACGGAAACACCGGGACTGTCATGGTCTCTAGTTGGGCTGACTTACTGGATACAACCACTTTTGACTGTTCTTAACAGTCTGCTCTGTCTGCGAGTGGCAACAACCCTGATATGAGGCATTCGCATTCAAACGAATGTGTCTCAGCATTATCAGTTCGCCTCAGCAATCGACTTAACATGCCTCCGCACCTCACCCGATTCGCCTCCGCATCTGACAGGGTTTGCCCACCCACCAGGTCAAGTCGCCTCCGCAATTGACCCGAGACGCCCCCACAATCCATCCAATGCGACTTTGCATTAGTCAGTTCACCTCCGCAATTGACCTGAAGCGCCTCCGCAATCCATCCAATGCGACACTGCATTAGTCAGTTCACCTCCGCAATTGACCTGAAGCGCCTATGACCATTGGCTATAAATATAGGTGAAGTATTCACGTTTGCTTAGTTGCCCCAGAAGAGTTCAACCAGAACGAAACCAGTCGTGCCACCTTACCTACCAAAGGGTATTTTCTAGGAAGTCATCTGTCTATTAGTCTATTATAAAAATATATCTAAGGAAATTTAAAGTTCTTACTTTTCCAGGGTCATCTTTTGATCTGGGAACTTTTAAAAAACATTTATTTAATGACAAGTTATGACGTATTGAATTCTGAAAAGATAATAAAACATTTTAAAGAATTTTACTGATTTTAATATACTTTAAAGTCTTAAAGTTGAGACTGTTTGCAATTGTATGACCCAATCATTTTTTTTATAAAGCACAACCCATAAGCTTTTTTCAAGTTATGCTACAGTATTAGGTCTAGAATTTTTCTGTACATCTAGCCTTTCTTTTCTCTATTGTAATATTTTTCAGGATCCTTTTGCATATCCCCCTTCTCTCATAAATCTGTACAATTTGTGATCATCTCTTGGGTTTTCCCTGCAATATTTTTCATGTCAGAGAATATAAAACAACTTAAATAATAATTAAGTACCTCATTACCCCACAAAAAATTACAAAATTACTCCCTTGGGGTTAATTACCTCCAGGTTGAAAACCCCTGATCTACCCAGTCGCTCAACAGCTATTACCCCTGTTTCAATCCTCAGGTCCGCAAAGGAAATGTTGCTAGAAATATTGGCAAGAAACATGCTGAAGTCAAAGAATTGGTTGTGCCATCCAACTTTTACTCTTTTTAAAGCCACACCGAGGACTTTTAATTAAGTGTATGCAAGTACCTAGTTAAAATGTCACTTAGTTGTATGCCTAGTCAGTAGACTGAAATTTTCCGTAGGCACTTTAGTCATCTTTGAGAGACAAATAAAAAAACAGCAATTTTGTCTCCTCAAAATCTGTCAAAAATTTAGCTCTTATGAGAACACTGGCAATAACACATTCTTTTTATTCATTTTCAATAGGCTTCATTCAAAATCTGTCAAGATTTGTGTTTTCTAAAGTGTTTTTGGAGGAACCAATGGCAGAACATTTGTGTAAGCAATATTTATATACTTCAAATATCATAATTATAGCGTTAAAACACACACATTTTTGACTCCAAGAGTGAAACAAAAATCATTGAAATGTGGATATGTATATTTTTAGCAACGCAATAATATTCCTATACATCGGTAACTTACATAATTGATCTTTCAGTTGTGAAGCATTTGATCGAAAAATTTCAAAAAAGTTTTTACTTTGTTTAAACAATCTAGTCTGGCAGTTTGTAGATCTAGCATTATGTTATGATACATGATGAAAGAATAATAATAATAATATATACTGTAGCCTTTAAGCTGTCTTGAGTGTGATTATCATTGATTAATCAATTAATTAATTAATTAATCAATTAATTAGGTCAATAATGGACAGGTCAAATAAGGCCTAACCAGTTGTACTTTGTTGGAGGATCTACAATAGGCTATATAATAATATAAGAGGTAACCAGCCCTCAGCTATATAAACAAAACAACTTCAAAAAGTCAAGCAAATATGCATAGAGTGGAGGGGTCCAATATCAGTGGCAAGTTATCTATGGAAAAATTATTCTTTTAATTTCATAATTTACAGCCCCCTGTCAGAGCTTTTAGGACTAGATCTATTTGTCAAAGATATGTCTTATTTCAATTTCGTAATCCAAATGAAAGATTCTGTAATTCGATTGAATTTTAAGAAACTCACCTTCCACCCATTCCCTGCTTCTTTATAATAAGGAAAATTATCACATATCCACTGATATATTTCACTGAGTGTCATTTTCTTTTTACCTGTACTATTAATTGCAAACGTTATCAAATTCGCGTAACTGTATGGAGGTTTACCGTCTTTCTGAAGGTTCGTTTGTCCATGTCCGTTTTCATACATAGCATTTGTATCCAAAGGGGAATTAGGTCCTTTCCTCATTGCCAATTGTCCACCGGCAGCTTTAGTTATTCCATCCCCAACCCCTAAGTGTCCCCCGTTAATCGCCCCTCCCACACGGAGGCGATGAAGCCAGTCCATGGCAGTCAAACTACTCTCAAGCTCCGCCATCTTGCAGGTACTTGCTATTCACTTGTTTACGAATGACGACATAGATTTCTACGCCAGGTAAAATTGTAATTAGGCATTCACTACTGCCAAAATCATCTTGGACTATATCAATATTGTTTATCACAGATTTCAAGATAAATAATTGTCACTGAAACATCATAGATCTGTGTTAAAAGATAGCCTTTTCAGAGAACTATATACTATTGCAACTCCATAAAAAGTGAACTGTCAGAATAGCTTCATTACCCCCCACGTCGTTGCCTAGCAGCCAAATTGACCTTTGACCCAAATAGTGGGAAATATGAAAAATATTCCGCGAAACACAGAAATACCAGAAAATTGCCGGGTACGTGGTTCTCCGTACGTGTCCCTCAGTACTAACTATATACAAAAATATCCATTATTATTCGTAAACCTTAAATAAGTTAGCCACTTCCACTTTTACAGTTTATAAATGTTTTTATGACCTAGTTGACTTATGACAATACAGTGGTGTAACCTATTTTCGTGGATATAAGGATTCAACACCGAATTTCGTCAAAGTTAAAAAAACGAAAAAAAAAATTTTATGTCTCAGATATTCTACAAAATAATACAAATTGGTTTCTTTCGATTTTCTTAATGAATCCTTCACTTTGACCCATATTTCATGAGCAATCAACTCGGGAACGGCGGCAGAATGCGTCACCTATTTTCGTGTACAATGTTTGATCTATAAATAAGTCTAGATAAACACGTTGTGTGGATACCGGGTGGTATAATTAACTTCTCTTAGTATTTATTTTTAATATCAATTCATTATAACTAGTGACAATTCATTCAAAAAACCACGATTTAAAAAAAAATAGTGACTGACAAAATAAGATACGTAGCGTGATTTATTGCTAAAAGTCACTGAAACAACATAAGAATATGGTCCACTTTGTGTTCCATAGAAATTTTGTGCTGACACGGAATCCGCTAGTTGATCACGTGACTTCATTCGTTGGATTATATTCTAGCAGACGACATTTGTAATTCCGATTACCGCTCGGGATTATAATGAAATTCGGCCGATAAAAAATGGTGACGTTTGGTAATAAGTGAAATCCGCCATTTTGTATTTTTCAAAGTATACATTAATACATTTTACCTTGCTTGCAACTACTGGATTCATTCTATTAGCTGATATTGTACAGAAAACCCATGTTTATTAAAACAAACTAATGCGGAGGTCGCACAAGGTCGCTCACGTAAATTGTTAATCATTTCCGAAAATCCACGAATAATAGGTTTCCACGAAATTAGGTTACTCGACTGTATATAAGTAGATTAATATTAACTAGTACATGTATTAGGACTAATTATAAAAAGACAGTTGACAGTTGTTTTTATAAGCCTATGATAAGAGAAGTTTACCTTTATATAGCTTATATTTAATCTAATAATAAAAATAAACTCTTCATTTTACATGGATCAGACTACACAAGTATACGATGAGGTACATAAGATATATTTTCGTGAGTAGGCCCTATTAGGTTCATTCTGGGCGATAAGATAACACAAAATGTATCTACAACCATGGTTAATAAATTAGATATAGGGTAAAATAAATATTTAATTACAATTTGATCTCTACAACATAAACTAAATATAGATCTAGTCAAAAAGAGAGGGGTATTTATTAAAATTTCTTTTTTTGTAGTTTTTTGTACCACAGCCTGCATTCTTGAGGGTTAGGTGCTATCAGCAAATAAAGAAACATATGTTGCAAATCCAAATCCAATTTCATCACTGTCCTTGACTATGTCCACACCAGCGGCAGCTTTTTGCAAAATCGATGACTAAATGTTGCAATATATTTAAACTGATTACCGGATGACATTTGAGTAGTAGCCATATAGTTTTTAGTCAAACATCTTGAGGTAATCAGACTAACTGCTTATAGCAAATACAGTTAGACTGATTACCGGATGGTGTTTGACAAGTAGGCATATAGTTGGACTGATTACCTCCAGACGTTTAAGAGTAAGCTCAATAGCAACTTACTTCCCTTGAATTGTAAGATAGCTTGCCAGGTAAGGTAACATACGCCCACTGGCAGCTGTCAGAAATGATAAAACAGTCTTTAGTGACTACAGTATGAATTTTCTCATATTAAAGAAATTTTAATAGTTTGAATTCATTGATATACATATTTACTGCCATTTATTTCTACTGAGAAATTCCACCAAATTTTTAAAAATCAATATCAATTATCCAAATACATCAAACTTTCGCATCAATATACATGATCACACCATGTTTCATTAAAATCATTTGAAAACTGTAGTCTCTAATGTGCTCACAAACAAATTTTGATGCGTTTTTCTTAAGTCAAGGGCAATAACTCAAAGACCGTTCATTGAAATATCATCAAATTTGAACTTGACCAAAATCTCATCAATATTAATGATCACACTAAAGTTCATTCAATTCAGTTGTAAACTGTAGTCTCTATTGTGTTCACAAACAAATTTTGACACTTTTTTCATAAGTCAAGGGCAATAACTCAAAAGCCATTCATCGAAAGATCTTCAAATTCAAACTTGACCAAGATATCATCAATATTAATGATCACACCAAATATCATTAAAATCAGTTAAAAACTGTAATCTCTATTGTGTTCACAAACAAATTTTGACGTGTTTTTCCTAATTCAAGGGCAATAACTCAAAAACCGTTCATCAAAAGATTGTCAATTTCGAACTTGACCAAGATATCATCATTACATATGATCACACCAAATTTCATTAAAATCAGTTAAAAACTGTAGTCTCTATTGTGTTCACAAACAAATTTTGAGGCGTTTTTCTTAAGTCAAGGGCAATAACTAAAAAACCGCCCATCGAAAGATCGTCAGTTTCGAACTTGACCAAGACCTCATCAATAAAAATGATCACACCAAATTTCATTAAAATCAGTTGAAAACTGTAGTCTCTATTGTGTTCACAAGAAATGTTGACGGACCGATGGACCAATGGACAGGGGCGACGGCAATATACGTCCACATTTTCATGTGGGCGTATAAAAATGCATTTATGAGAGACTGTTTTGTTTCCAAACCAAAGCAATTAATATACATGTTCCGAACACAAAACCCCAAATACCACCTGCTGGAGATAGCTAGTTATTCAAACCAAAATATTCTCTTTCAAAATAAATAAACTATGAATATCTATGAGTTTCAATGTTTCATTGTGGTTCTCATAACAGGAATATGATTGAATTTGATAATGAATAATTTGGGCATTTTTTTTAGCTAGTTCTTTACATCGAAAAAAAAAGGCTGGGTCAAACAAACCTTCACAATGTCAAGCCATTACTAACTATGTCAACTGAACTGAAATTGATGTTCTTCTTCTCTATTCTTGATTGGGATAAAAGAGAAGAGAATTAATAGCTTTGATATGATTTTATTATAATTTATGGACAGTTAAATATGTTGACAAATAATGAAATATGTCAGAGCTGATGTTGATGAAGTATAAACAATGAATCAACGAACTTTGATGTCCTAGCCTTTATGAACAAAGCTACGATTATTTTGTGTTCATGAACAAGTAATAATTGATTAACATTTTAGCCACAATATTCAAACATTCAATATCAAAAGAGAATTAAAAATCACACGAGACTGATCAACAATATCTTACATATAATACTCATTAAGGTGAACTAGTTATGTCAATGAAAACTGTTTTATTTACTGGTGTTGTTGTACTGAACTATTAACAGTGTTTTTAAGGTACAGTTGTACCAAGATTTATATTCACATTCACACTATTATAATCATGTATATATATTGCTTAATTGCCATGTGCATTTTTCATCTGCCAATCAAAAGACAAATTACATTAGACATCACGATTACAGCCAGATTAGCTAACATCCATCTCTTCATTCTTCTTCATTTCCTCATGATCATCCTCTGTAATAAACACATTCTTATTATTCAACAAGTTATTATTTATGAACACTGTATAATGTTTATCATTTCAGGTTCTCTAATCCATGATGCAGCATTCTTGACCATCAATGAAAATAGCCTGGAAAACTTAAAATTTGTGAGTATGTCAATGGAAGGGTATATATGGCATTGATTAAGGCCTTTCATTTCAACATTCCATATGGTGGTAATTATTCACATAAGAATGTAAACAAGAATATATCTTAACCAGACAAATGTAACTTACCATCTAAAATAGCTTGTAATTCATGTATAGCTGTTATTAACACCAAAAATTGTTTTCGTCTTAAATCAAGCTAAAAATACATTATCAGTAAAATAGTTAATATATATACCTGTATAAAGGGAGGTAACCCCACAAACCTTTCTAAACAGAATGGAATATCTTTTACTCTGATCTGTTTTAAAACTCATGTGAAGAGTGGTCTAATGATTTTACAACTAATATCCACACTGGCACAATCAGATTTTCAATTTCAGAATCTTGTCTGATTTATATTCACTTCACATGAATACTATAGAGGCTATCATTTGACAGAACAGCATTGATAACACTGCATCATTGCCAATTTACAGAACAGCATTGTAAAAATGCCACTTGACCGATAAGCATTGACTATACTGCAACTTCACTGAGCAGCATAAACCAAACTAGCACTCAAAAACACAGCAAAAACACACCTTTTCCTCTAATTTCTGTTTTCTGTCAGTAAAAGTTTTCAGTTCTTCATCTAAGCTCTGTAATTGCCTGAAGTATTGTTTCAAGTACAAAATAGAAGTATATAAACAGGATATAAATTCTATATCTCTTCAGATTAATTACGTTATAAGTATTATACAGCTTAAAGTTTGTTTTCCTGGAGGTTTATGATAAGATCTTCAATTGGTTGAGAAAAGTTTGATTCTATTCATCTCCTTATGACTCAAATGACAATTGAAATAGAGGATGAACTCATTGTACTGAGCATAGCATTGAACATTGAGAAAAATATTGATTCTTGTGTGCACCAAACATAGCATTTTCAGTTAGTAAGTAGAAAATTTAAGGATTTTTTTTGCATTACTTACTTCCATGTTTCTTGTCTATCAGGGTGTTGGTTGATTACTTTAGCTAAGGCATCATATTCTACAACACAAAACAAAAGTATCATAGATAGAAAATCTAATATAGGACTGTTGATTGCATGCCAAAGATTTCTGAATTAGTCATTGCTCTGAAACTTAGCTTATCTAGAAAAATGAAAATAATTGTCAATTGGTGTTACATTACAGTCTTGTTTGCAATGGATGCAAACTGAAAAAATTTCACTATATATTCAATAAGATGATCTGTTATACATGAATATCATTCAGGAATTAAAATGTAAAATAAGTAAATTTTGACTTTTGTGTTATTATTTTCAAGCTAAATTAAGATCCATTTAAAGGGATTGTAAAAAGGTTTTATAAACTTTTTGTGTATCGGAGACACTGATAGCATCAATTTGTACCATTCCAATTTTCATTCCGATGTCTGTGGTTCTTGCAATTCCATCATAAAACGCCTTAGTTTTAGTGGAATTGCACAAACCAAAGACTTCGAAATGGAAATTCTGAATGGTGCAAATTGAAGTTATCAGTAAAAATACATTAAACACATCAAAAATTTTAAAAACTTCTTTACAACCCCTTTAAAAAGGTTTTAACTACACATAATTGTAATTTATTTATACAAATGTAAGACACAGATTCAGATAACTTGACACTTTATTTCTTTTAAAAGTATTTAAGTTTACAGACCTTGTCTATTTTTTCTAATACGTTTTGCTTGTTGTAATTCAACTTTGCATTCAGCAATTTTTTCAGTAGCTTCTTCTATCTTTTTCTCTGCAAAATATATTTGAATCCAATAAAACACAACTCAATAATTATAATCATGATTATACATAATATTGTGTGGAGTGAGAAAATGTGCCATAAAAAAATTTACAACAACATATAACATCATAGTGTTCATCTCAATACAGAAACTATAATATAATACAAATGCCCCATATATTGTTTGCTATTTCAGCTTTTTTTACAACTATTTCTTCTTTAATGATGGAGAGTATTTTTTATCCAATACTGTTTCATTACTCACCAATTCGTTGACTAAGTTTTTCATAATTTTCTTGTTCCTCTTTGTTCATATGGTAAACCCTTGTTGATTTTTCTACAGTATATTCACATTGCGACAATGTTGAAAGAATTCTCTGATAAACTAGATTGCTAAAATAAACCAAATCAACTAAATGAAATTATGTGGATGCATTTACAATGTAATGAGCTTAATTTTTACTTTTCACTCTGTAGGGGCTTCAAATTGCACATTTCGTTTACTCTGTTGGTGGTTTTACATTTTATTTTCACCCTATAAGGGTTTACCATTTTAATTTACTCCAGGGGAAAATATGCATTGAATCTATGTTTACTCTATGAGCGATTCACATTTAGTTTTCTCTGTGGAGAAAATATTTGTTGATATTATCTGCTTATAGAATATGTGAATGGAATATGTACCTGTCTTCATCATCTGGAGATTCAGTCCATCTAATAAACATTTTAAGTAAATTATTAATTCTTTTATTATCATTGCCACCTTCTCCATCAATCAATAAACTTCGTTTGATAATTTCATCTAAAATAAACAACAGATCTACATGTGTTTTGATTAAGCAAAGTTATTCCAACGACCAGGTAGGTAACTTAGGTACCGTACTTAACCTACACTTAAAAAATTTCAGCATCTTTGACAGGTGTATAACCCAAGTTATAATAGCTTCAAAGTTCCGATATCAGCAACATCCCTTGTACCAGTAGAGTGTTTCAAATTATCTTTTAATAATAAATATTCGTCAACATCAGCAATCCATAGCACAGTCATTGAGCAAGAAATTGTGTATTTGGTTGTCTAGCATCTGGAATTAAGACTACTTCATTCATGTTAATGATTTTGCCATACATCACTTTGTCAACATCAGTGATTATAATGACATTGAAATCAAAGATACAGTGACAGAAGAATAATATAGCATCAGTTAGCGATCAACAGACTTTTATATACATCCAATAAATCTTATCTTGTCAATGTCATTGAGATTAAAATGAAAGTAAAAATCATACAATACAATCTACAGACAACAAAGCCAAGGGAAAGGTCAATGCAAAATACTTAATCGCAAGCTTACATTACAATTTCATTGGATATGATTACAGTCAAGTAACCTAATTTCGTGCTAACCTATTTTTCGTGGATTTCCGGAAAGGATTAATAATTTACATGTGCGACCTCCGCATTGCTTGTTTTGATAAACATGGGTTTTCTGTACAATGTCAGCTAGTAGAATGAATCCAGTAGTTTCAAGCAAGGTAAAATGTATTAATGTATACTTTGACAAATACAAAATGGCGGACTTCAGTTATTATCAAACGTGACTATTTTTATCGGCCGAATTTCCTTATAATCCCTAGCTGCAATCAGAATTCCAAGTGTCGTCTGCTAGTATATATTCCAACGAATGAAGTCACGTGATCAACTAGCGGATTCCTTGTCAGCGGAAAATTTCTATGGAACACAAAGTGGGCCATATTCTTATGTTATTTCAGTGACTTTAAGCAATAAATCAAGCTACGTATCTTATTTTGTCAGTCACTATTTTTTTTTTTAAATCGTGGTTCTTTCAAGGAATTTTCACTAGTTATAACGAATTGATATTAAAGATAAATACTATGAGAAGTTAATTATTCCACCCGGTATCCATACAACGTGTTTTTCTCGACTTATTTATAGTTCAAACATTGTACACGAAAATAGGTTACCGGTACGCATTTTGTCGCCATTGCCGAGTTGGTTGCTCATGAAATATTGGTCAAAGTGAGAGATTCATAAAGAAAATCGAAACAAACCAATTTTAATTATTTTGTAGAATATCTGAGGAAACATCTAAGACATAAAAAAAATTTTCCGTTTTTTTAACTTTGTCGAAATTCGGTCTTGAATCCTTATATCCACGAAAATAGGTTAATCCACTGTATATCAGGAAGAACGAAAATATAAACATGAAACTCGGCCAAAGCCTTATTCGATTGTATGTAACATGTCATGGACATTGTTGTCAAACTTCTACTTTTTTTTAGTAATAGCAGATCTTGTCAGTTAAGTCAGATAAAAAAAAAATATCTATTTTTAGATTCGACACTTCAGAAAAAAAGTCTGTGCTATCCATCAATGCCTCTAGTTCAGCAATACTGTTATCGAACTAAGAGAACGAAGAACCATTCATGTCTTTTGCGTTGATAATGAATATATTTTGACAGATAACATCATAAAATCCATGCTTGTTTCACGTGTACGTACCATCAGGCACCGCCATTTTCCACTTATAAACAACCCTTACAACAATGAAAATTAAAAATAGTGGAAAATTTAGAATAAAACAACCATCTGGTTTGTTGTATAAATACTACAAAATAATGAAAACAAGTAAAATATTAGTAAGTGAATCCTTTCTTTTTGCAATAAAATACAACTTGTTAAAAAACAGAGTGATTGTTAATGCTTTAAGCGATATTCTCACCACCGAAATCCTCCGATCGTGACGTCATACTCGGTAAATTCCGCTTCGGTGGAAAGCAACAAGAAAACTACACAAAATGGCGACCCAGGACTGGAGTCCGTCAATGTTTGCGGGCCAGTCTTGGTCAGCTTGGGCAGACAATGTCCCACTGACAAATGAAAATGGCAAGTTTCTTAACTTATCTGTTATCCTTAAAAAAATTAATGCCCCTACTGTTCTATTTGACGTAGAATTCGCAATCAAATTTATGAGATAAACCTCCTGTCTTATTAAAGCTCAATGGGAAGTGTCATAATCAAGTATAAATTTGTTTTATATAGATGATGATGATGTGATAAGCTCTAGAAATGAAGAGGAAAGTTCAGAAGACAGTATGAAATTAAGAAAGAAAGGTCTGTATCGTCTCTGTGGGAATTATTTCTGAATATTTTTGGATTTATATCATGGTATCTTTTCAGTTACTCATCATACCTGAAACTCTTGAGATGTGAATAACAACTTAGTCAAGTCAAGGTTGATGAAGTAGATCTAGATGTATTATTCAATATTATTAATATGTCATATGCCTTAATACTCCTTCTAAATTCATAAATTACTTAAACTATTAAGCAAATGATTCGATCAGGGATTTACTCTGCTTATCTTTCAAAATATCATTATGATTCCTTTTAATCTTAAGCAACTGAAAGTGAAAATATCAATGCTACTGATCATGCTATAGCTAACGATTAATTATAACTCTTACTATGAATCTAGAGGGGTAACTTAGATAATGACCACAGATGTCGTCTGTTACATGTAGGCCTACCTGTGATTGTTTTACATGGATGATGTCTAAAACTATAATATGATTTGATCTGATTCATGAATGGATGTTTGGGAGTGTTTGAATCACTAACTTTGCTATAACAAAGAAAGAAGAAAAAATGTTCATGCTCTGTTTTAATTACTTTTTACAGATTTATCCTTGTTTGGTTTTTGTCCTTCTCAAGATGAGTTATTTCTGGTGCTCTGTGAAAAATGCAACAAATCAATTAAACCACAAGCCTTCAAGCAGCATTTGGGTATGATTTTTTACTGTTTTGTTCTAGATATTATGTTTTGCACGATCTCCTTTTTGTGAAGGGTGATATATGACAAATGTTATGACATCATTTGTGCTAAAGCATATTAACTTACAATCCTGAAAATTTTCATCCTTTAATTAAACAGATAAGTTTCTATTTCTTGGGATATTGTATTATGGATGAGAAATATGGACTCAAAATTTTGAATAATTGAAAATTGTTGCTAAATTATGTGATAAATTACTTAAAACACAAATTTTGATATTCAGAACTTCCTCTGATTTCACAGGCCATGTTTTATCATTGATCAAAATACTAACATGCTCGTTCTGATAAAATGTGCTCTATGAATTCTAACAATTCTCCGTCTTTATAAAATGTTATAATTTGTCTTATTCTTATTTTCCAGTCAAAAGACATGGTGTTAAAGATAGTCATGCAAGACGTTCCAGTTCTACCTCTCATAGTTCTCATTCTTCGTCATCTAAATATATTTCACCCAAGAAAGAAGAAAAACGAAGCTCATCTTCAAGCAGCCAGGCACCTTTAACATGCCCTGTACCTACAAAAGCCAGTGTGAAACAAACTCCACCCAATATTGCAGCATTAGCTAGAGCTAGACAGAATGCAAGGGATAAATCAGAGTCTTCTGCCCCTGTGAAAGAAAAAGGGGAGAAACTTAATGACTCTCCTATAAAGGTGAAAAAATCACAAACTTTACCTATTGTGAAGGTAGAACGAATATCAGAGCAGCTATCAAGCAAGAAACCATCAACAATCAGTCTGGATTCAGATTCACTGGCATCTGACATTAATAAAAGCTCAATTAAAACTGAAATTGATCTTGAAGAAAAAACAGACATCTTTATGCCAGAGTTACTAGCAGAGTTGGAAAAAGTTCCTGAAAAACCACCAGTTCTCCATCCAATCAAACCTGTTATTCCAAAACTTACAAAATCCTTCTCTTCAACTACCCTGTCATCCACTCCAATATCAAAAGTTTTATCATCCATGTCCAGTAAAAGTACAAGTAGTGGTTCGAGTAAAAGTTTGGGTGGAGCTTCTACATTATCAAGTAAAAGTAATAGTGGTGTTTCTTCTAGTAAACTCGGCAGTGTGTCGTCCAGTAGACTGAGTAGTAATGCATTATCTTCAAGTAAAAGTAGTAGTGGTGCATCAACGTTGTCTAGTAAAAGTAATAGTGGTGCATCATCACTATCAAGTAAATCAAGCAGCAGCATTGTTTCAACAGCTTCAAATGTGACATCAACTACTTCAGTTGTGACAATAAAAAGTGATACTAAACCTGATTTTAGTCACACCATGGCCTCAAATATTTTGACTAAACCTTTTAACTCTGTATCCATGGCACCTAAACCTACATCTCTATCTATAACCAGTAATACAACCAAATCAGGAAGTTCTACCAAATTGGTGAAACCATTCAAAGAGAAGTTTCTACCATGTAAAGGTAATACTTAACCTAAGCATTTTATTTCAATCAAGTGTATGGATTAAACTACAAGTTGTATTTCTTTTCCCAAATAATTTGATCAATCACTGAGTCTTGCATTGAACATCCTTCTACTAAGATACTTACTTATTGTCCAATGTCTAATTGACTTATGTGCAAGCTTAATCTAAAGAAAAGCTTTATGTTGTACTGTCTTTCAAATTTTGTTTTTTTGCTTCCAGATCGTGAATATGATTCTAGTAAACATTGTGGTGTGTTTATTGAAGATATACAAAAGTCTTGCACCAGGTCACTAACTTGTAAGGTATGTCGCTGCTGTCTTGCGTTCTTCCTAATTTTCACGGTTCCCCAGCTGAGTGGGCTTCATTGACTTGTGGTCACTTGTTTCCAAAATTAAATATATGTACCACCTGCTAAGTGGTATTAAATTGTTCTCTTTATATTTCAGACACATGCCTTGTCATTACGTCGAGCTGTGAAGGGAAGAATCAAACCATTTGATGACCTCCTCAAGGAACATCGAATTGCCAAAGAAGCCTTACTTAAAGCTAAAGCCTTGGCTGCTGGTCTCCCACCGCCAACGTCCAAATATAGTTATTTATTAGAAGCTAGTGAAGCTGAAGCTGCTGCTGCTGCTGCTGCTGCTCCGGCTACCTCTTCTGGCGCCAACTCCTCACATTCCAAACCAAACCAATCCTCATCTATAACTTCTCCACATAGATCTTCAAAACCCCACAATAAATTATCTGGTCCAGCTTTCCAAAGGTTTGTTTGTATTTTATCTCAAACCAGTAATGTTTTGTTGAATTTTTATACGCCCACATGGGTTTGTGGACGTATATTGCCGGCGCCTCGGTCCGTCAGTCCATTGGTCCATCAACATTTCTTGTGAACACAATAGAAACTAGAGTTTTCAACTGATTATTCATATTGATAAGATCTTGGTCAATTTCATATTTCACGCTCTTTCGATGACAGTTTTTGAGTTATTGCCCTTGGCGCGTCAAAATTTGTATGTGAACACAATAGAGACTACAGCTTTTAACTAATTTTAATGAAATTTGGTGTAATCATTTATATTGATGAGATCTTGGTTAAGTGCGAATTTGATGATCTTTCGATGAACAGTTTCTGAGTTATTGCCCTATTGCTATAACATTTTCTTAATACATCTAATATATTTTCTTGACTTGTTATTCACACAACAGATCTTCTGGTGTAGGAGATCATAAACCATGTTATTGTCATCATTATGAGTTCTGATTCCAACATTCTATACTTACATAATTTGTTCATTACCTCTTTTAAAACAATCTTCACCTTGACTGTTCACATAAGTATCGGGGTATAAGCTTACCTATATATGTAATCATATTTCATAGATCTAAGTGGGCCCATTGGATATAATAAATGCTAAGTTTACCTTTGTTGTTTAATTTGACCAGTGTCGTTATTGTTACAAAATCTTTCTCTGTATTTGCAGAATATCTGTGAGTGGTGTGTTTGCTCCACAAACCTCAATATGTGAAGATAATAATACATTAGTTTATGGTCAAAATGATGGGATAGAAGAAGAATTAGATTGTCGAGAAACCCATTTTATTAATCGACACCCTCGACCTGCTGCGGTAAGTTACTATGCTGTCATTTGTTTTTCTATATTATCACATGATATATCTCAGACAATTGTCTTACAAATAAATCATATTTGTCTACTATTGTTGGCTTGCTTATTCTAGTAAATCGTATTTTACTGATTGTAAACTGCAAACATAGGTATATTTTCTAAAATTTGTTTTTATTGAGGACCATTTTCAACCAAAAAAAGAATCCTGTGTTTGTGCAAGACATTTGGGAGAAAAACTTTACCAAATAGATGTATAGTATTGTAGTTCTTGTATCATATGCATATCGTATGACTCATTTTGTGTCACATGCCCAGCACTTATTGTGATTAATCCTGCATTACATGTATATAATTTAAGTATGTTTTGCTTTGTATTAGAAAAGAACTGGAAGTCAAAATTAACTGATTTATGTTTTCAAATCAATTCATTCAAGTGCAATAGAACTTATTCATGTGTCGTCCATATTGTATCTAGAACAAGGCTCATAATGCAAAAACAAGCAAAATGAATATGGTGTTAGGGTGTATTGAGACAAGTCTCAATGAAAACACTGGCCAAGGTCACAGAGCAATAGATAATATGGTGTTACTGTAGTAAAATAACCACCTTGATGTCTTTAACGCCACCTTCTCCAATTCAACTCAAAACTAATCATAATTTATATCACTAAAATCGAAGTTGATCAAGCCATTTAATGATAATTTCATACATTTCTGAGAAAAACACAGTTTTAAGTCCGTTTTCTTGCTGTCGATTGAGTGTTCAGTGACATTACATAGGCTATTCATTCCGATAACGTTGCCAACTTTTCAATTGATGGCATAAAATTTTCAGGGTCTTAAAAACGAGACATGAAGAAGGTCTACGGGTAGTTTTAAGCTACAAATTTAAACTTAGTTTCACATATAAAATTTATGAAATTATAACTGATACATAACATTTGTTTTCCAGATTTGTACTTTTGGTGCTCGAACGATGTCTGGAGCTAGATATTCTGTCTTTAATCATAGACCTGATTTTATGCGTGCTGCTTTTATCAGTGCCATAGAGAGACACCTCCATCCACCACCTCACAAGTAAGTTAAATATGTGTTCTTTTATTTTATCAAGAGATAGGTATAAATTACACAACTTCTTGAATACTGAAGCCATTTATGAATTAATATTTTAGTAGGATGGACAATTGGGATGCCGGGCACAGGGGCTGACATGGAAGATAGCATTTTGCATCTACTACAATTGGAATTAAAAGTGAATTATATTATGTGTTCATTGCACATGGAATGGTATTTTGCTTTGTATTATTGTATGGATCAGAAATGGAAAACATAAGATATTTAAATCTATTTAGAAATGACAATCTCTTTCAAGTATCAACTCACAATTTTTTGTACTTTATTTCAGAAAACTGTGTGTGGAATCCAATTTACCTAAAGATTCTCATGTTGTTACCAATGCTGTTGACCCTTATGAATTTATGGATCCAGGGATAGCAGGATCTGCTGCACACTCTTTCAACTCAATGTTCAATTCTCAAATGAGGACAGGCTCAATGAAACAAAAATCAAAACAAACTTTAAATAGAACTTCCAAACAAGCCCTTGGTTCTCGTAGCCCAGGGTCAATAAATTCTCTGCCTACTGTGACAAATATGAACCCTGCTAAGCGGAAACGCAACATAAGTAGTCAAGGTAGCAACCCCTCTCCTGTGATATCTCAAAACTTTACAAATGTGATTCAATCCTTACCACTCAATACAAATAATAACAATAACAACAATAACTCAAACCCTATAGCAACTATTGCCATCCCGGGCATGAATCTGACAGGTACAACGATTGGCCAATTTAATACTGCTGCTGGGAAAACAGGACAATTACAATTACAAAAAAATAACATTATTAACAAAGATGGACAAGTGAACTTTGTGCTGACAGGAATAGATCCATCTTTAACACGGAATGGTTGTGTTAGTATTGCTACTTCTCAGTTTGGTCAAATGATCACAACTGATGACAAAAACTCTAAAAAGTCACGAACTTCTGTGGCAGGAACAAAAAGTAACAATAAGTTAGTGAATACTATTGAAGGAATTAAGACTTTCCCTAATAATGTGTTCACCCTACCACAGAACGCTGTGTATATGGATGGTGGACTACAAGGTACATTGTTACAGGTGCCTAATTTAACACCCACCTCGAATAACACCATAATGTCTTTAGCTACACCAGTTGTTACGACGCAACAGTTACAAGTAAGTCTCTGTGTTTATATCCTATTCATAAATCAAACTCGTATTTCAATGGCAACACTTTCAAAAACCTTGACAAATGCCGATGAAAAGTTATCCTAGGTGAAGTAAGGAATATTAAACGTAAGTCGTTTCTAAACATTTAACAAAGTAATGTAGCCTGTAATGTTCACAAGAAAATGTGAATATTGAAAGATTTCAAATTTATGTTCAAACATGTTTATCAACACATAAATGTTTTTTTTATATAGTGTCCATAAAACCATCTCATAATAACAGATCAGTTTTTCCTTGTACAATATTTTTTAGGAGAATAAGTCAATCTTAACAATTGTTAGAATTAAAAAAAACTCATTTTACTCTATTTCAGGACTCTACTTTAACAAATGGTGTTCATTCTGCTACAGGTGAGTTTTTATAATCATCCAAATTAAATTTTCTTATTTCATAGCATGTGTAATATGTAACATCATTTAATGGTATACTGATAGCTTAATTCAAGATTTTAAGTCATTTGCTTAACAGAATAGATAAACACACAATAATTCTAACCTACTCTATGAGTGCTTTCACTGAAATATCTTAGTAATTTTCCATTACTTGTCTAAAATATGATTGTGCTGATATTTTTGTAATAGCAGTGCGTTTAGACTCTCAAAGTGACTATTTACTTTTACAGTGTTCAGTTTGAGTGAAAATTACATGTACATGATTCATTAGTTCTTCAACAGTCAAAGACTCAAATTCTGTGACTTGCAATGGCCTTGGATTTTAAAATTCATTAATAATTGGCTCCTTTTTCTGTTTCAGATAAAGTTTTGTCAAATAGACAGAAATTTGTGCAAACTGGACCTAAAAGTATTACAGCACAAGGTGTGCCCTTGTTACAAACTAGTGGATCACTTAACCATGGTCAACTGTTTACTAGTCAAACTCAGTTAAATCCTATTCAAGTTAAATCATCCAATATCAATATGAACAAAAAGGTTGCCATGCAGCCAGTGTCAGTCACCATTCCTCTCCTTAGCCAATCAAACTTTAGTGCCTTGGGAGCTCCTCAAACTCAGCACACATTTTTACTACGAACAAGTACAGACGATAGTGGTCAGAGACAGGAAATACATTTACAACAACCGTTATCCAACTCTTCAACAAATCTCATATCCTAGCAACGGGTGCTCTTAGAAGAGAAGACTAGTTCCATTTATGGCAGTGATTAACCCATTTATTTGACAAGCCGTGTACTTGCTTACTAAGTGCTCTAAGACTATCTATCAAGTTGTGATTTTAGCAACATAGCTATATGTACTGGGTTATGTGGCTACATGGAACCAGGTTACATATCTACAGGTTTCTTGACAGCACAGCATATCTCGCTCCAGCGAACAAATAAGTAGCTTCAGTGAACAGGTAATATGGCTACATTGAAATCTGTTTCTACAGGGGTTGCCTAACTTCAGTGGAGCAGAGTTCTTGGCTAAATTGCACAGAGTACCTTACTACTTAGAACTGGTTACTTTTCCAAAAAAAAAGAAAAATGAATAACTACAGTAAACAAGTTAATGTGCTCCAGTAAATCATGTTACCAAACTACATAGTAACATTAGCGAATCAAAGTTACAACATTCAAGTTTTTCAAAGAAAACGGAGAACTTTGCAATAATCTTATTACCTGACAACTCTGAAATTACTTGTTTTTGTCACCTCATTTGTACTAAATTTTTGTTTGGTATCAACAAACATATATTATCCAGTCCTTTTAGGTGCATTGCATTATATTTTTCTTACAGCATGTTTTGGCCTGCGGACAGTTCTTATCTTGTCCTATAACTATCTTGCCTGTTATCATTCTCAAGCACATTATTGTTTATGAATTTTAGCTATATCAAACTACAAATCTTTGCTGAAAGCATGCAATCTGAATCATTTGAAAGGAATTTAAAGGGATATTAAGGGTAATATGGGGCATGACACAGTCTAATTGGAAATACAATATTTAAAATCAGAGTTATAAATGACATGTACATCTATTAGTAATCTGAACTAGTTATGGGTTTTAGTAATCCGAACTAGTTATGGTTGTTGGTAATCTGAATTAGTTAGGTTTTTAGTAATCTGAATTAAGATTTCTAGTTATCTGAACTAGTTAAGATATCTAGTGATCTCATGTATACTACAAATGCTAATCAGTCTTTATTAGTATGTATTAGTTCCTTTTGTTTACTAATCTGAATCAGTTTAAAACAATTTAGTAATCTGAATAAGGCTGTTCTCTAGCAGTCTGAATAAGTTTGTTTTCTTGTAATCTTAGTTTAAATCTAGTAGTTTAAACTAGTTCTAGTTATCTAGTAATTTGAACTTGTTCAAGTATTTGGTATAATATCAAGAACGGTAAGATTCAAGAATTTGTAAAAACTGAACTAGTTTTAAGATATAGTTAAAGAATGCATGCAATTAATATTACACAGATATGAGTTTGCTTATTTGTTTTTACGATGTTTTTAGATTACATTCTTTTTTCTCAAATTAATAGTTCAATGTGGAAGTAAGTGCCAACTTCAAAATAACAAAGTATTTAAAAAATCATATCAGCCTACAGATTTATGAATTTTTGTAAAATCATTCTAGTTTTCTCCATCAAGATTGCTTTTTTCAAACATTGTTTGCTTATAACTTTTGAAACAGTAGTCCAATTTTCAAATTTTTTACATCAAAACATTCAGTTTTAACTCTTTAGCTTTGAGTCTATTATTTAAATATCCCAAGAATACTAAGTAAATCGGTACATACTTCTACTTTTAAGATTAACATTAGGTGCATGTATATTTTTTGGATATGATTTCTCAGGTACTGTCTGTTATTCTGTGTTATGTTACATATCATAAAGTATCAGTCTGCTTATGGATAATTTTGTTAAGAAACTTATCATTTAAGACAAATCAGTCAGTGTCAAAGGTTTTTCAGGCATATTATATTACGATTTTTATTTGCATTACAGGTATGCTAAGTTATCTATTTAATTTAAAACAAGAAGTAAAGGAAATGCCAAATTTCCAAAAAGTCAAATTCTTTAATTTGTAGAATTTATGTAGTATATAAAAATATTAAGTTATTTTACAGTCTTTAATATTACATCCATATCAACTTGACTAACCATGGTAAGATTTTTCTAACTAACATTTGATGAGAGAGAGTATACAACAAATAAGTAACAGATAATGTATGAATAACATTGCCTTCCTATGAATGTGCTTCTTTAAATCTTACTATTTCAAGCTTTAAAGTTTGATAACTGTCTTGGCAAGTCCTGCAAGGTATTAGGCAGTGTTTTTTCTATTGTGATATTTATTTAGTTGATATTTCAATATTGATATTACCACAAAAATTGTAAAATATATTAAATGATAATTTGAAATGAGAAATGAATTTAAAAGGTAACATTTTGCAGTGAATATTTATATTCTAGATTATATATACCATCATTTTTTAAGTCAACCTTTTGACTGGCAGAATCGAAGAACAACGGGGTTTTCAGCAATTACATAGCAATGGTATGTTCTTGGAGAATATATTCAAGTGCTGAATTAAGAGAACAGCAGCATGCCAACACTGAAACTCCAGTTGTTTCCAATTGCTGTAATTTGCTTGTGTACTTCCTCTATGAGTGCAGCATCTGCGAAAATCACAGTTGCTGGTAGATGTTCAGTTTCTTGATAAGTGTTTCACCAATCAACTTGAGCCCATCTCAATTTACAAAGGCTTTATTTGCAAAGAGGGGATAATCGACACTAATTAGCATTATTTCTAATTCAACCATGTCTGTAATAGCTATTATACCAAACATCAAGCTGTAAATGTCCTTTATTCACTAGTTATCTTCTTTATACAATCCTATAAACCAACAGTATGCAGTTCATGTAGTTAAGGATGCAGATTTAGTCTTTCATTGTCACAATAAGGTTGTTTAACGAATACTACTGTAAAGTTATCTAAATATTTACATCTATCCATATCACTTTTCAAATGCAAACCTAACAGCCTATTCTCGAAACTATCTCAGGGCCCTAAGGTCTTAACTTGTAACACTGGTACTGGGATATCCTAGTGATAAGATTATTTTGAGAATATGTGATCTGACAGCTAGTTCATCTACAATATCATAATTTATTTGTAGACAAACTAAACATAAATTGTCTCTCTTATAAAGTGAAATGGGTACCTGCTATTGAGGTGTATGAGGTAGTAAGTCAAATATTTAGATAACTATATCCTGAAGTTGTAATTTGGGAATAAAGCAATTTTCAACTGGTGTGATAACTTCAATAAGAGTTTCTGGGTATACAGGTCTAAAATGTGATATTGTTAATAGCAGTTGTGTTTTTGAAAGAATCTCTGTAACTCTTACATTGTTTTATTATTATTTTGTCTGAAATTTAACCAAAGATATTTAAATTACCTTTATTAACATTTTGTTGTCATTTGGCACTCTAAGACACTCATCAATCAGACTAAATCTCTTTGGTCACCCAGAGAAGCCTCTTTGCTTATTCTTAGTAATTATTGGTCAATCTGAAAGGTTTCATTTGTCAGTATGGTCTTATGAGATGTATTTTTTGTTCAAGATACTCGAAATATGTCTATGATCATTCTTGGAAGAATGAGCTATACTGAAGACTATAATTTGTGCAATGTGTTCATTAGAATTCCACCAGGAATAAACTATTCTACAAATATTATAAAATAAAATTGGTTACAAAACTTGATTTGAAAAATTTACTTTGCTTCTTTGCTTTATGAATTAAAGATGCTAAGGTGACTGAAATGTTAATCTAAAACAAGTTCAGAGTGTCATAAGATGTGTTTCTGGCAACAACACATAACTTTTCTTAAGGAAATCATTCGTTTCAAAATTAGTTCATTTGTCAATCATTTGTGTTTACAAAATTTGATGTGTTGGAAAACATATTTACACCAATGATAGTTAAGTGCTTGTGAAAATTGTTATGAAGTTACCTAGAATGTACATTAAAAGTTGTTTTGTTTTATTTATTATACATGTATATGATACAAGGCAATGAACTTTAATATAAATTTGCAAAATAATATGTCTCGGTATCATTTGGAAAAACGACACATGACAGTATTTATTTTTATGCAAATAAATTTGTAAATAAAACCATTACATGTAATAAATTTATTTTGAGTTATATTTGAATTACATGGTTAAATCTGTGGTATATCACAGTGGACATGATCTTAAAGTCCGGCGCACACACGAGCCATCAGCTCAGGCAGAATTCATGCGTGCACTTCTCCTTAAGGCGATAGCTTCTATTTGCGGGTAAATTTATGTAAGATTTTGGCCTTTCGTGGCGAAAAGTTGAAAATCAAACTTTTGATAATTTTTTCCACGAATGAACAAATGCTTGTTAGTGCGCGTAACTAAAGCTATCTGCTTATAGATAAATTTATCTACGCATGAACGAATGAATTCTGCCTGAGCTGATGGCTCGTTTGTGCGCCGGACTTAAAGTTCATATACATAAATTAAGCGGTGAAATGCGATCAATTCAGAATAGAGGTTACAGTTATTATCCAATCTTGATCAAACTTAGTATGCATGTAGGCTAAGATGAACTGTTTTTGAGATATTGTTCTTTACTTAGTAAAAGAGGGTCAAATTCGGTTGTATCCGATATTGATGAGATCTCGGCTAATTTGTTACTAATCGGTTGAACAGTTTTGGAGTTGTTGCCCTTGATTTGGTAAAAACGCGTCAAATTTGACGTGATGTACGATAGAAGCTGCAGTTTTTTCCCATTTTGATGAATATTGATGAGATCTCGGTTAAGTTCGAATGTTGTAATAATAGGATAAACGGTTTAGAAGTTCGAATTTGGTAATAATCGTATTAATGGTTTTTATGTTAATGCTCTTAATTGAGTTCAATGAAAAGTTTCGGAGTTATTGCCCTTGACTTAATACAAACACATGAAAAATTTGGTTTATGTCTAAACTTGATGAAACTTGGTGTGCAAATCATACCAATTTTCTGCTATTGTCTTGAATATAAAATATCTTTAAAAAATTAAAATACATTGTGCCTTTTAATTATTATTTGTGTATTTGGGTTATCGCAATTGGTAGACTCAAACTACTACCGAAGACATCAAATGAGCACCATATTTAATGGATATCACATTTATTTTTTCAATTTTTTAAACAAAATTTCTTTTTGTCAAATTATGCATAATGTATTTCCCTTGATGTAGTTACAACCCTGTTGCGTTGGTAGACGTTGAACTGCACTTCCCAGTCAACCCAACATTATTCAGTCCAGTAACCTAATTTCGTGGAAACCTATTATTCGTGGATTTCCGGAAATGATTAATAATTTACGTGAGCGACCTTGCGCGACCTCCGCATTAGTTTGTTTTAATAAACATGGGTTTTCTGTACAATATCAGCTAGTAGAATGAATCCAGTAGTTTCAAGCAAGGTAAAATGTATTAATGTATACTTTGACAAATACAAAATGGCGGATTTCACTTATTACCAAACCATTTTTTATCGGCCGAATTTCATTATAATCCCGAGCGGTAATCGGAATTCCAAATGTCGTCTGCTAGAATATAATCCAACGAATGAAGTCACGTGATCAACTAGCGGATTCCGTGTCAGCAGAAAATTTCTATGGAACACAAAGTGGACCATCTTCTTATGTTGTTTCAGTGACATTTAGCAATAAATCACGCTACGTATCTTATTTTGTCAGTCACTATTTTTTTTTTAAATCGTGGTTCTTTGAATGAATTGTCACTAGTTATAATGAATTGATATTAAAGATAAATACTAAGAGAAGTTAATTATACCACCCGGTATCCATACAACGTGTTTATCTAGACTTATTTATAGATCAAACATTGTACACGAAAATAGGTGACGCATTCTGCCGCCGTTGGTTGCTCATGAAATATGGGTCAAAGTGAAGGATTCATTCAGAAAATCGAAATAAACCAATTTCTATTATTTTGTAGAATATCTGAGGAAACATCTAAGACATAAAATTTTTTTTTCGTTTTTTTAACTTTGACGAAATTCGGTATTGAATCCTTATATCCACGAAAATAGGTTACACCACTGTTTATAGTGTATCTCTGTGATCATAGAACTGTACACAGTATACAGTTCTATGCTGTGACAAATGGTTATGCATGAGCGAAATAGTTTGGTAATCTAAGCAACTCTCTCTGAAATGGATCTAACGGCTGCTGGGGTTATGTCGTTAATGAAGACGATGAAAAACACTCATTACCCTTGTGCCTGAAGAAGCTCCATTAGCGAAATCCGGATCGCATTATTTGAATGAATCCAGTGAATCCTATAGTGAAGAATACATGCTATTCCAACTAATTCAATGTCTTCACCATGCGTCTATAATTTCAAAACAAGCCAAATTTCGCAAACTCGTGGGTTTTTGTTTAAAATTTCTAATCTGAACCGGTTTGTTAAACCAGCTTTTAAAACCCCCCAGATTTACTCGGCTATCGAAGGCAGTTAATAAATCCTGGGCAATAAATGTGGCATTAGCACTTAAGGATCATTACGATTCACAGCTGGCCACCAAAATTAACTTGATCAAATCACAAAATATTTTAGAATCTGACCTACGAAAAAACTCTACGGACGCTATTAATTCCAATTGACACTTCGTCATTGGGCAAAAAAGTCATATCGACGACTTCAAAAAGAAACTTTGGATCAGTTCACGCGAATTATTGATGATTTGAAATTTAGGAGTGTGGTAGAGGACATGGATATTGCTAGTAGCTCGCCACCAACCAACATGCTTCCAGAACGGATCACCGCCACGCCAAAACGAAAACGTACACCAGTTACCAAGTACGTCATCACACGTATACTACCAACACGCAATAAAGGACCGAATACCAGTACCGTACCACTCATATCATCGCCTAACCGATTCTCTCTCCCACCCTCATCGCCGCCAAATACCAGTCCACGATCCAATCCAGAAACTCCACAATCCAAAACCAATACAACCTCTCATCGTCGTTTGAGTCTGAATTCACCACCACCATGTAAACCAAGACGCCACGAAAACCAAAAAGATAAAACCAAATGGTCACTGCCTAATATTGTTAATCAACTTTCATAATTGGTTCTTCGAACGTGAGCAACATTCCCACTATTGATCCTGATATGCATGCTGAATCCTTTCCCTGTGCGCGTGTTCAGCACATCATCCACTTATTATCTAAGATATCTCCATCTACAGTTCCGAAGAAGGTCTTATTTCACAACAGAGACGAATCTGGTGAATCCATCCATAGGCGAATGATACCATTGGTAAAATTAGCTAAAGTGAAATTTCCCACAGCAGCTATATTTGTTACTCAGATACCATTTTCCAAAGGTCCTCAACTTTCAGATCCCCAGTCAACTACCAACCTCAGAAGATTCAACGACTATATCACAAGCCTTCATTCGATGCTATTCCCCGCTTCAATGTAATGATTGGTGTCTTTTCGGATCATATCCACTGGATGGCCCCCACTGCTAAAGCTATTTATTTACAATGGGTCTCCCATTTAAACTAAACGCGGGATGGAACATCGTAAAACTAGGCCAGATCATCGTGAATCTGAACTCGCGTAAACTTTCTCCCCTTGAAGAAAGAGTTTTAGAAAAAGGATTAACTTTTATCCCTACATCTAAACCTCTTTCACGTGTACCAATTTTGTTGTCGGTTGAGCATGGCAATAGGACTTTTAAACTAAATCATTTTTTCGAGAAAGATTAGGTCGAGGAAAGCGAATCCCGTTCGTAGAAAAGTCTGGCTGGAATTAACCAGACAGTGCGATTGACCATAATATTTTGAGTAAATGCGACAGTCTATACGAAGAAGTATCTCGAAAAGAACAACCTTACCAATTTTGAGCGCTGTATTTTGAACACCTTGAAAAAAGATCTGACCGTTATTATTCGAAAGAGTGACAAGGGTAATTGCTGTGTCATTCGAAATCGCGAAGACTATATTTTTGAAATAGATAATCAGTTAAATAATGACAATCACTACCGCGAATTAGATCTACCAATTTTTATGGAAACTGCTAGGAAAATTAACGATATTTTGAAAATTTTGGTGCAGAAAAGCTTTTTATCAGATGCTCAATATGACTATCTTTGTGCAAAACCGGAAGTCCGTCAACGTCACTTTATGCGTTAACAAAAAATTCACAAAAATCCTGAATCCGAATGGCGCGTGGCAAATACCATACCTTAGGGTAGGCCGATTATTTCTGACTGTTCTGGCGAATCTTACCAAGTTTCCGAATACATTGACCACTTTCTGCTACCATTGGCTCGTAAACATTCGTCTTACTTGAAAGATACTACCGACTTTATTGAACAATTAAAAAAATGGATATACCAGACAATGCGCTATTTATTTCTCTAGTTGTAACGAGTATGTACACAAATATTGATAGTAATTCGGGTTTAGACGCTGTTCGAAAAGCCTTTCTTAGAAATTCGAGTCCTGATCGTCTAGACAAAGAAATATTAGATTTGGAAACAGTTCGAGCCGAGTTATGCGAACATATTTATGGCAGAATGGGAACGCGAATTCTCATTAATTTCCCCCTTTCAACCTCTCTTCTATGGGAGGTATTTTAGACGATATTTTTATCATTTGGACAGAATCTTTGGCAATCTTTTCGGAGTATTTTGAAATTTTTAATAACCACCACCCTTCTGTAAAACTGACCGCAAGTATTTCTGAAAATAGTATGAACTTCTTGGATACAACAGTATTCAAAGGACCAAATTTCACTCAATCGAAGAAACTAGATATAAAAGTATATTTTAAAGAAACCGATACACACAAACTTTTATTTGAACTTCGTTTCATCCGAAGCACACATTTTCTGGCGTCATTAAATCGCAAAGTCTGAGATTCAACAGAATTTGCACTAGAAAAACCGATTTTGATTCAGCATGTGACCTAGTTTTTAGTAAATTGAGGGATAGGGGATGTTCAAAACGTTTTTTGCGCAAAATTAAAAACGACACTCTTTCGGCCATTGAAAAGGAACATGATCCCCCTCCCCCACCTAACGGCTTCGGTTCTGTTCCATGTGGAGGTTCTAGGTGTCGTACCTGCGAATATATAAATGTATCTCACTATTTCGAAAACAAGAAAAACGGTAAAATTTTCGAACATACGGAAGTACTTCCTTGCATCGATAAAAACATTATATACCTAATTTCTTGTAAAAAAATGTGACGTTCAATATGTTGGCGAAACTCAAAACGCGTTGCGTACTCGTCTAGCGGTCATCGTTTCAATATACTCCATAAGAAAGATAGACCGATTGCGAATCATTTCGATTTACCCAATCATTCCATTGAGGATCTTCTTGTTATGCCTATAGAAAAAGTACCTGTATCAACATTGATCAAACCAAAAACCAAACGATTGCAAAGGGAGAGTTTTTGGATAGACCAACTACAAACAGTCATACCTAACGGCCTAAATATCCTATATGACAACCAAATCATACCCTTCATTGCAACCTACAATACTACAGCTAAAAATGCCTCTATCATTGTCAAACGCTTTTATAATGAGCTCCAAGATGAATTTCCAAACGTTTATACTAAACATTTGGTCACTGTATATAAAAGAAATAAAAACTTTAGTAATGTATTGGTTCATGGTAGATTAGAACCCCTTTCATCAACTCTCTGAAACAATTGCATTGGAATTTGAGTTGAATATATTTTTTCTTGTAATCTCTCCAGAAAGTAATAATCTATGAATAATTTTCAGTAAAACATATTCTGTTTGAATTGAAATAGTTTTCATATTGAAATACATAGTCTCTACTTGTGACCTAGGCCAGTGCTTCTATAGGAAATTTTGAAAGTTGTCGACCGGTGTAGAGTCAGAAAACTTGGCCTTGTTTTATGGAGATTTCCTACCGCAGACGGAGGGGGATTATGATGGTAACTACAAAAATATACATCTTTTCGAATAATCTGGGTTTGGCCGATCCGATTTAAATTAGTAAGTTTTAAAATCTTTGGAGAAATTTCCACAAAACAAAACAGATACTTATTTTTCAAAATATCAGAGGCTGGAATAGAGGTAGATCTTTCTCCACTTTCTACTAATTTTGCCCTACTTTACGTTTTCCATGGGTCACAAAATTTTCAATCTCTTTTATATAAACCAATTCCCACTTGTAGGCTACTACACTTCCATCCCCCACTCTCCGTTGGTTTATTTGAGGTTTTTTGTAAGGCACTTTATCCAGTGGGTCTGAGAATTCTGTTGTAGTAAATTTGCCTTGTCTGAAAACCTTATATTTTTATCACATAAAAAATTCTCAATTCTATTGACAATATGGTTATAGCTAGACTAATTATAATGGGTCAGCATTTTGACGCACTTTAATGTTGTCTAATTAGGTGTAATGTTGTCTTCTTTTCATGGATCGGGTACTTATGCCATTTGCAACGAGCTTTTGAATCTAAATTTCGAATTTTCGAATAATGCATGAATGCGTTTTTTAGAATATCAATAAGAGCAATAACTCATGATATATAATATCATAATATACTTTTGCGTGGTGATTAATTTCACACAGGACGGTCATAATACGTTAAGGATTAACATGTAACTATGAGCAACAATGAAAATACAATATATATATATATATATTTGTTACACGAATTCTGCACTTTTTCAACAAATAAAAAATCCAGACAACAATATTTTATTATGCAAAATTAAAAAGAGTTTCACCCCTTATATCGTGAATTTGAATTTACTATTAACATCCAGACCTAAAATTCAATACAACTTTCTATAATATTTCAGATTATCCAGCCATGTAGAGAAAATAAACATGACTAGGCGACACCTGGTGGTACTTTATCCATCACCGGATACTTTACATTTGACCTCAAATCAGGTCGTATTACTGGGCGACTCTTTACTTTCATCATTATTTCTGTCAAGAATCATCATGACAGCCTCCATAGATATACTCTTAATACCGTCCGTGGCAAAATATATCAAGAAACTTGTAATTATTTTGAAATAGAGGCGAAATATTGAATATCGATAAGAACTACTTTCTATTGACCATATAGCGCACTTGCTCTGTCAGGTCTGTTGTTCGGCTCAAATTGAAGTGTGGATTTTATGTGTATTTCAATGAATATTATTTAATAATTTTGTGGATTTATGGATCCGTAACAGTTTTGGATTAACTGAGTGACTTGAATGGACAGGGACTAGTTCGGAGAGATGAGTGACCCATACACCCGTTTCAAGCCACCACCGGAGGCTCCAGTGTTTACTCCGACTGAAGAAGAATTTGCTGATCCATTGGGTTATATTGCCAAAATAAGACCCATTGCGGAACAGTCGGGAATATGTAAAATTAAACCCCCACCGGTTAGTATTTGTCGATAAGTGGATATTGATGTCAATATGAAGTAAATTTGGATGTTATTCTGTCAGGTTGTCGTTGTATAAGTACTGATTTCCAGCCCATATCTAATGACTACGTGAGAATCTGAACGTGTAATATGGCGACGCTTTGTTTGTAATCTGCCGCAACAAGCTGTCTGCGTCCAAGACAATCGTAGCATTTTGAATTTACAAATGTCAATCATTGCAACTTTAAAATTAACTCCTGGAAACATCAGTTTTTGTTTGCTTTTGTTGATATTTCTACAAAAGATTGAAATTTTATAGAGTATGTTTTACTTGTTGTTGAGGAGTAGCTTGGAGAGAGGCCTGGATGAGGCCCCCACACATTTCACTTGTGAATACATTTACTCAGAACTCATTCTAGGCCAAACAAGTAGTGCCTTCACATTAAGATTGCATTTGATTTCTAACATGCAGTTTGGGCATATTTTTATTGCAAAGTGGATAGTAAAGAAAGATATTGCGTAGAAATTTAAGAAGATAAGTTGAAAAGCGATTGGCATCAGGAATTAATTTATGTTAGAGTTGCAAATAAATGTCAAGTTGTTGGTGGGGTGGGGCTTATTTTTCTAAGGGCTAAGAGAAAAAATACAAAATATAAAACTTTGTCAATTTGAATCAATGTTTTAAACATCAATGCCCAACTATGTATACTGATCATTTGTAAATTTCATCTAAGGAATTGGAAGACATGTCATAGAGGGTTGGTGACTTGTGATAGAGACATTGATGTGGCAATGACTCATTGGATAGAGATCTACATTTGCAAATATTATAATCCGTAGAACTAAACAGAATAAATTTATTTGCATATGAATGATATTAACTTTCAGATCAAATTTTAACAGTGGACCAAGGTGGGTGGGGTCATTGTTGCAATTTACATGTACCAATGGCATCATTGATGATATTAATTACTGATGCTGATTAATAAGCTTGATTATTCTATGTAATGATTTTTGTCCATCAGCTATCCAGATGGTTGTATTTGTATGCTTTATTTAAATAGGATTGGCAACCTCCATTTGCAGTAAATGTGGAAACATTTAAATTTACACCAAGGATCCAAAAATTAAATGAATTAGAGGTAAGCATAATTCATGTTTCCTGCCAAATCTGGAGATCTTTTTATATTATAAAAAGTGTTGGTGGATTAGGCCTAGTATTGAACTGGTCAAATATATTTCTTCTCCATGGCAGCCATGTTGAATTTTCTTTACATCTTTGTCTATAATTCCCATATATTTTGCTGAACAAACTGGTCATTGTAAAATTAGGAGTCTTTTATGACCATTTTCTCCAGATTTTCTGATATTCTTGCCCAAATTATATCCTTTGGTCCAAAAAAAACAAAAATATGTTTTTGAGGACATCTAATGCAAGTCCCATATTTTGAGTTTTTTCTGGAATTAGTTATTGGTACTCTTGAATATTATATTTGTTTTCATATTTTAGGCAAAATCTCGGATTAAATTAAATTTTTTGGATCAATTAGCTAGATTCTGGGAACTTCAGGTAAGAACAAGTGTCTATTTTTAGAAACACTAATGGCTGACTTAGCCATCTCTTGTCTTTCAATAATGAGTAATCTTGCTAATCATATGATTTTATCCTTGATTTATAAAAAAAATAGTGAAAGGGCCCCTAAATTTAATAATTTATTGGTCATAAATAGTTTTATATATTACATTGGGTATGAAATGTTCTTGATATGAAACTTAGTTACTTGTTATATAAAAATGATATTTCAATGGCTAAAGTGACCATAACTATCACCATTCATATTTATATGATATACTTATGTAATTCAATTTCTCACCAGAATACATTATTAGACTGATATTGGGAAGCATAGTTTGTCAATAAGCACCTCTTTGCTCCATTCTGTCTAAGCTAAAGGTCTGTTCCATTATTGGCTCTTTACAGACATATCTATTGCTTTGTCTACCCAATTTGCTGAATTGCTGTAGTCAGTGATACAAATAAGTTGAATTTTTTCTAAGCATTCCATAAACATGCTAAAATCATATAAATGTCGGCAATCTAGAGTCTTTTTGAGACTAAAAACAATAGGCTGCTGTCTGCTAAGTGCATCACCTTGTCTTTACATGGTCAATTGGACATAGAACAGTAGAGCATATTATATAACTCCTTATTTGAACATATGAGAACTAGGTATGTTGTTGTTGTACAATGTTGAATGATATAATTCTATGTTACTGGGTACTTGTCTTGGTTGCTTGATATGATTATATCTCATGTCCTCTATTATTATGCAGTTAATTATAATAATATCACCTTGCTACGTGTGTTCTGCAATTTTAACACCTTAATCATTTCAGGGCTGCTCATTAAGGATACCAACAGTAGAAAGAAAATTATTGGATTTAAATGATCTCTATAAGGTATGTGTGAATCAAACTTCAAACTGGCCCAGGATCCTTTTTTTGGACAAAATATTGGTGTTTTTAATCCTTATTCCCTAACCAGTTCTCCTTACTAGGTTGAATTTGTTGTCCAAAGTATGTTTCAGAAGTCAAACTCTCTCTGAAAATGATTTAGTCTGCAAACAGTGACATTCAGATGTTGCATCCTTTCAAAAGGTTCTGGCAAGACATCATTTATGAATCTGAAGATATATTACCTAAAATTTATGTCTGTTCTATTGTTTATTCTTCTGTTTATTCTTGTAGAATGTTGAAAATGAAGGTGGTTATGATGTGGTCAATAATGAAAGAAAATGGGCCAAGATATCAACTAAGTTGGGTTTCCCAACTGGTAAAGGAATTGGTAGTATTGTCAGATCACATTATGAAAGAATACTCTATCCCTTTCTATTATTTAAGAAGGGTGAAACTGTTAGATTAGGTGTAAGTGTGTTTTATTGTCAAATAAATGATGATTTATAGTATATTTCACCAGTGAAGTGGTTGGCCAATGTGTATGATAATTTCTAAAATATATGTATTCATTAGTTTACAGTTACCTTTTATCTTCATTACGTTTTATGAAATGTAGTGCTGTAGAAATGCACTAGATGGCATGATGGATTTATAGTCAAGAAACTGTTAAAAAGAAAGTTGATTGGCTAATTCAAGTTGGTTAAAATCTGTCCAGTACTAGAAGAGGCTGGACTGCAGTCAGTAAAAGGGAGACCAATATTATGTTTTGTTGATACAAGTTATTTATTTTCATTATAGAAGAAAAAGAAAGAAGAGGAAGAAGAGTATGATTATAAACCAAGAAAAATGGAGGCAGACTCAACCTCTGGTCATGGTAGGAAAGCTACAAGATCAACTAAAGGGGTAAGACATTTCTTGTGCTTGAGGAAAGCAACATCTCATGATGATAATTGTTCTACTATTAAATTGTAAAATTGTAAGAGTGAGATAAGAAGTATGTTAATTTGTTTTAATATATTGTATCAACTAATTAGTAAATGCGGACATTTATGTCTTTAAAAAAAATAGGGAAACTGCTTCGAGTTATATACATGTTCTCGTTACATCGTTCCACCCTTTGTGATTCCTTGAGTACCAAACTTTTTATTTTCAGGATCCAGTCATAGATTATAGTGCTAACTCAGAACTAAAGAAACTACAGTTTTTTGGAGCTGGTCCTAAAGCAGCTGTTCCAACAGGTCGGGAAGGTATAAGATAAATGGAAAATTAAGAGTTTATAAGCTAACCTTTATTTTTATAGTTTTGCAAGGTTTATTGCTTTTTACCCTGCTAAATTTCAAATTTGAATAAAGTTACATTGATACATGTATACCAGAACAAAAACAAAGTCATAAAATGCTAAAACAATCTTGTCTTAAAGTACTTGCTGCTTATCTTTTACAATTAACTTCTCATGTTTTTGCATTGAAATTTCAAATTTTTAAATTATGAATTCTTTTGTTGGATTAACTAAAGTTTTTGTTAATTACCAATAAATTTATAAGCTTTTTCTTTTTTCATTTATTTTATTTCAAAATTTATGTTTATCTTTTTGTATTGTTGAACTTGAATTTCCCTGTTTAACATGAGACATAACTCTTGTTCATATGCCTGTAATATGATACTATTGTATCCTCAAATATCACATACCACTGTATGTTAATGGATTATGTGTCAGATCTAGAAAGAGGGTTCTTTAAGAAGCACGAAGTATAAAGACCCGTAAATGGCATAAAAGTAGAATAGAAATTTATATGAAGCTTTTAATCTTGTTAATCATTTGCTCACCTAATGTTACCATAGAGAAGCTGAAGTATTATGATCTCAGACTAGTTATCTTGCAAATGGGGAACTTGGAAATATGGTAAAGAATTTCCACCATATAAATGTGATATTTTGCCATGTTTCAGATGACAAAAATGAAGTAAAAGATGTAAAACCAACTAAAACAAAGACCAAAACACATCATGATAATATTTTTGATGAAGGTGTTTTCTCTTCGGTAGTAAGTTGAACTATGAGATAATTTATATATGTTGATTTGACTGTGAATTTTATGGAGTAATTTGAATTGATAATGCCCAAATTTTCAAATTCTGATGGAAATGTTACAAAATGAAGAAAGAGACAACTATTTTTTTACAAGGATAACAATTTGCATTACCTGTTGTGTTGTGGGCATTGATCTTTCTACCAATTTACAGCTGGGTCGACTGGAAAAAGAGCAAGGATGACTTACACAAGGGCATCAGAACCCACAACCACCACTTGTTGGATTATCTAAGCAAATGACGCCATGTAAAGTTTACAAAGTTCTAAAAGACTAGCCAGGATTGTTGAGTTTGTGATAAAATATGATGTTTATTTTCAGTTTGATAAATATCATTGTCGTACATGTGAAAGGGGTGATGGTGATGAATATATGTTATTATGTGATGGATGTGACGATGCCTTCCATACCTATTGTTTAATACCACCATTAGCTGAGGTACCTAAAGGAGATTGGAGATGTCCTTATTGTGTTCAACAGGTAATAGTACCACTTCTAATAGATTCTGAACCACTCAACGGTTAAACTAAGAAAAGTTTTTTTACATGAATTTTCAACTGAGCAGGAAAAACTCTTGAATATGATATTTACTCTAAGATTTAGTTTGTGTGAAAGAGGGAAAAAATATGTTTCAGATAATATAGTATCTTTGATTGTTAAGTCATACATGTAACCATGTGTAAGCCAAGAGGGGCACTATCTAGAGAAATGAACTAAAAATCATTGACTGGTGGCCTCCCACAGTTAGGCTTGAAACTTCTCAGCCAGTCCTTATACAAGTATACGAAAACAAAACAATCTGTATTACATTTATGTTGAATTCATCTTTCGTTGTAACTTATTGCCATTCAACCAGCCAGGTCTCTTTGTTTGAATGAAATGAAGTGTTAAGAATATTTTTTTCTTGCCATTATTCAGGTATGCAATAAACCACAAGCACCATATGGGTTTGAACAATCTGAAAGAGAATATACATTACAATCATTTGGTGAAATGGCTGATCATTTCAAATCCAGTTATTTCAATATGCCAGTACATGTAAGTAAAAGCCATCTTATCAAATTTAAAAAGATAGTATTATATCTGTCATTTATGTGGTCCAGTGCCCCATTGAAAATAGTAAACTATGATATTTAAGAATCGACTGAACATTTTTTTTTAAACAAAGTGTTTAAGCAAAATCATGAATTGTCAGCATTTTTAACAAGAATTATTCTAAACTTTAGTTTTTGAATAAGAAGGAATTGGTCATATGAATTCAATTTGCGAATGCAAAAAATAATTTTGAACAAGCACCATAGCCAATGATGTAGTTATTTTTTACTAATGCTATTCCTCAAAGTACTAATGTATTTACTACCATTTCTTCCTCCCATTTATTGTATACCATGGATCTTTTCTTAGGTGGTACCACCAGAAGCTGTAGAAAAAGAATTCTGGAGATTAGTAAACTGTTTAGAGGAAGATGTTTGTGTACAATACGGAGCTGATATTCATGCTCTAGAAATGGGCAGTGGGTTTCCTACCAAAACTACTGCAGATCTTTGTCCCGAAGATGAGGTATGTTATTCATCCTTTTAACTTTTAATATTTGTTATATCACAAAATATTATTTACATATTGAGGTATTTTGTTTGCATTTGCTATTGAATAATGGCAACATTTGTTATCCTGCATAATGTTTTAAGTTAAACAAATTCAGCCATGTTTATTCATGCTTTTTAACCAATGATAAATGACAGCACTATTCACTATTGATATTTCAGGAATATGTGAACTCTGGTTGGAATCTAAATAATCTAGCTGTATTAGAACAATCAGTATTATGTCATATTAATGCTGATATCTCTGGCATGAAGGTAAGTGTTTTACTTAAGAGATGAAGTGCTGATAGTCATATGATACATGTACAACAAAATTGGTTATTGCCCTTGTTTTCCTTTCATGTTTTGTTTTGATTCTTATGTGAATTTCATATTCATCAAAAACTTTGCATGATGGTTGAATTTATATCTAGAAAATCCAAGGTCACTATTTTTGTTAGTTTGTTATAGTTGGAGTAAGACTTTGCTACTTTGCTACTGCAAAGTCCCAGTTAATTATCGAAATGTCAATTGTTTGCAAAACCGGAAGTGCCACTGTTCAATATGTGCAAGAATAAATAATCGGCTCTAGAAGTCGTATTTGTGGGTCGATATTCTTTGGGTTTGCATTTTTGGAATCTACTGTTAAAATCTAAAAGAATAGCAGTTTCAAAATTTCAAAATTCGAAAATTTGTCGCAGATATTTTTTTTGCCAAATTTTGCATTTTTTTCATTTTTTTTGGTTTTTGTCTGATTAATCTGAAAAAAATTGAGCAAAGACAGTGTAAGAATGTAAACAAAATGGTACAGTCAAATTTTCAATTTCACTTCCGGTTTAAACAGGAAAACGATGTTCACTTCCGGTTGAATATCTTCCGGTGTAATTTGTATAGGACAAAAAATTTTATGCTGATAGGTAGACAAAGATATGACAAAAAAACGAAGAAAAAAAACCCCGGAAAAGACGTGAAACTTTGGCCGCCATTTTGATTTTTCTGAAATGATTCGATTTTTATTCAGACATAATGGCTCATCCGATTTAAATGATTTTGGTGTCAAATGAAAGAAGATAAAAAAAAAACATGACATTAGGAAGCCGTTTTTCGATTCTCAATTTTGCTTTTTTGCAACATCCGGTTGAATTTTTTCAAAGTTTGAAGGGTCATATCTCGTGATCTTGTACTTTGATGACCTTGACCTTCATAAGGTCAAAGGTCATTGACCTCAGCTATCAGTTAATACTTTGACATTTGACCTCCGACATGTACTTCCGGTTTTATAGCTGTCCGAAAACAGCCAAATTCGCAACTTTGGACTGCTCTAGAACGTGACCTAATTAACCTAGAGGGTTTATTTTTTCGGATTCTTAATGTGCTTTTCATGTTCTTTCAAGTAATTTATAACAATCGTTTTTTAAAGCAAAATTGAAATTCGTGAATTTTTCAAATTTGAGTTTTTTTTTTACAATATTTCTGTTTCTTTGAGCTTGGTGTGTATATATCTTATGACCTATTTTATGTAGAACATCGAAAGTTGGAACACAACAAGATAATTAGAATATAAATTAACCTATGACAAAAAAGTTGAGGTGGGCGTGGCACATCCGGGTTGAATTACTAATTGTTTACATTTTGGGAAAGGGGCATAACTCGCATAGGATACATTTGTTCAAAAAGGAACTTTGCACACAATTACCTCATTATTTTGGCCAGTTTGTGTTAATAGGTCAATTGTTTCAGCTTTATAGTTCCAAAAAAGGAACGGGTTTTGAAATTTCCATATTTTCCATTTTCTATTTTGACCTTTATTGACTCTTGTTGACCTATATCTTTTGACCTGTATGATGTAGAAGCTTTAAATTTGGGATACTACATAACATTCAGAATATCAATTAACCTATGCAAAAGAAATTGAGGTGGGTGTAGCACATCCGGGTTAAATTACTCATTATTGACAATTTTGGCAAGGGACATAACTCGCAACGTATACATTTGTTCAACGTTGTCTTAGAAGTTCGATTGTTTCAGTTTTATAGTTCAAAAAAAAGGAACAGGTTTTGAAAAATCAAAATTTTCAATTTTTGACCTTGACCTTTTTTGACCCTGATTTTTGTAGGATCAAAGGTCATTCACATTGGCTATCTATTTATACTTTTATATTTGCTGTCCTATCTCAACTTCCGGTTTTATAGGCCGTATATATTTAAAAATTTTGATGACTTGTATCTCGTAACCTTGACCTTTGTTGACCATCTCCCTTTCAATGTCAAATGTCATTGACCTATCTTCTGATACTTTCATTTGTGAGGTCTGTCTACTTCCGTTATAACAATCTTCCAAAGAATTCTTCTCAACTTTAGACTGCTCTTGCGCGTGATGTAATTATCGTAGAAGGTTGATTTTTTCAGAGTCTGTTGCATTTTGCTACATTTGCAAAGTCCCACTCTGTGCCACGTGTGGCTCTAGTTTAATATAATTGCTATGATTATTTTAGATACCCTGGTGTTATGTGGGAATGTGTTTCTCCAGTTTTTGTTGGCATAATGAAGATCATTGGAGTTATTCTATCAACTATCTTCATTGGTAATATCAAATTCTTCTCCTCTCAAATTCATAATTTTTGAGCTTTTGCTTTTGTTAAATTTTTTTTTTTTTTTTATCTATTTGTCTTTTTGCAAATAAATTGGTTAGGTTATATTTCTTAAAATTTCTGATAGGCCACACTTTTTCTGGAAGGTTTTCTGGAAGCTTTTGGTCCATTGATGAAGGTTTGTATAAAGAAATTTTAACAGTCAGCACTTCTTTTAGAATGATTTGATTATGTAACTCTTGGAGTAGAGGCATCACTAAGATTGATCATTTTTGAATACTATTTCAGGGGAGAACCTAAAACATGGTATGGTGTACCTGGTAGTAAGGCAGAAGAATTTGAAATAGCAATGAAACATACAGCTCCTGAGTTATTTGAACAATCACCTGATTTATTACACCAGTTGACAACTATCATGAATCCTAATATACTATCTGATCAGGGTGTTCCAGTAAGTAAAATCATCCCTAACATGGCTAATTACAGATTGGCTGCTTCAGTGAGGACAGGTATAAATTGTCAATTGTGCTGACTTTTTGGACAAGATAAAAACAAATTTTTTTTGTTTTTAAAAAGTTGTTGAATATGTCAATGGCCATTTATTTTATATGTTAGCAATTCATGTTCATTTCGAAATCAGATGAGATCTAGTGATATTGTCCTCACAAACATAAGCCAACATCACAATATTATTATTGATATTAAATAGTAAGTCAGTTTGTAAAGGCAATTGGATTGTTACAGTAGTTAATGAGGTTCCCTTTCTTTCAGATCTGTCGAACTAACCAAAATGCCGGTGAATTCATTATCACATTCCCAAGAGCTTATCATGCTGGTTTTAATCAAGGTTATAATTTTGCTGAAGCTGTCAATTTCTGTCCAGCAGATTGGGTAAGTTATGTGAAGATGAAAATTAGGCATTTATATATAAAAGAAATAGTTTAGTTTCTAACAAAATTGTAATATATTTTCAGAGGTTTTAAGACAGCTCAGTGGAATTATTTTTGTGTAGTTTCTGTAGAATTGTGACTTGCCCCCCTTTACCCTCAAAACACAGATTGTCATATTTCCAAACTTTTTAGCTTTAAAATTTGTATGATATTAACCATGTGACATTACTGCCTAATGGTTGTTTAAAGTCGATCTGTGTTTATCACTCAAAGTTTTAAATTAGTAGAGCCTTGTTAGTATTTGAACCATTAACCCTGTAGCAGATTTATGATTGGTCCAAGCCTTTTCCAAACTTGATATAATATTCCATTACCAAAATATAGATCTGATTTATTTTTGTTTTCCAGTTACCTATAGGTCAACAATGTATAGAACATTATAGATCATTAGGACGACAGTGTGTATTTTCACATGAAGAATTAGTATGTAAAATGGCTGCTGACCCAAATAGTCTGGACCTCAACCTAGCAGCAGCAACACACAAGAATCTCCTTTCTATAGTTGATGATGAACGAAGATTACGTAAACACTTACTTGGCAAGGTAATTACATCATTACGTTACAAGCAGCTAATTTGACTTAATTTTATTTCTTATTTTTTTTACCAAAGTACTTACTGATCAAACTCTAAATATGAGCTTTTAACAGACCTTGTCATTTTGGTTATTATTAAGCATCAATATATTTCAGGGTATGCTGAGTGCTGAAAGAGAAGCATTTGAATTATTACCAGATGATGAGAGACAGTGTGATTATTGTAAAACAACTTGTTTCTTATCAGCTATAACATGTGATTGTAAACCAAGTAAGTATTATTATTATGGTAATCTTCCATAGGTTTTATAGGAAATTTTTCTGCTTCTAGTTTGTACCATTCCAATTTCTCATCTCATGTCTGTGGTTCCTGTAATTAAGAATTTATCAGATTAGTTTGCTTGAATGGTTTGATGGGACATCAGTATGGTGCAAATAGAATATAAGAGTTTTCATATGAATAGACAATAAAATCGCGTTCCAATTTCTGTAATATGCTGGTTTATGTTGCTATTAACTCCTTACTAGTACCCATAATTTGTCATATTTAACTATAGTAGAAACCACATACAGACATGGTATCAAAACTTTTATCTAAAAAAATTTCTGTTTGATTTTTCAGATAAAGTGGTTTGTTTACATCATGTGTCTAAACTATGTTCCTGCCCATCAAATAAACTGACTTTACGCTATAGATATAGTCTAGATGAACTACCAGCTATGTTAGATAGACTTAAAGTTAGGGCTGAATCTTTTGATAACTGGAACGTTACCGTTAAAAATGCTCTAGAGGCGAAAGAAGATGATAAGTTGGGTGAGTGGTTTTAAAATTTCAAGTTTCTATTGTGACTTCTGCTGAACTGATGCTTTATTTCAGAAATAAAATATGAAAAACATTTTTGTTGTTATATTTATGAAGGATTATTAAGTACATAACTATCTAACCAAATGTTAATTTTAGTCCTAAAATACTTTTTTTCTGAAGTACCTTAAGATGTTTTAGGATTAAAATGATAAAGCCTGATAATCCTGGAATTTATATATTGTGTAACTGTAGAACTATAACATGTATTTTTACATTTCAGAATTAACTGAGTTACGGGAATTAATAACAGAGTTTGAAGAGAAACGATTTCCGGAGAATGAATTATATCAAACATTAGTCATGTCAGTTACAGAAGCCGAGAAATGTGCAGACGTAGCCAATCAACTTGTTAGTAAAAAAGTCAGAACTAGGTAAGATATCTAGTTCAATATATATAATATTCTCCTGTATATGGTTTGACAGGGTTTTATTTTTTGGCAATTGAGATTGACCGTTACTAGCAAAATATCATTACAATGCTTAAGTTCTTGTTTAGTTTGCTTATAGAAAAAGATTTGAACACCCAAGTTGAACTACATAAATTAGTTGTTTTTTGCTGTTTGAAAACAAAAGTGATTAGAAGAGTTGAAAATTCTATAACAATGTTAATGATTTTTTTTTTTTAATATAGAAATCGCCAGTCTTTAGATGGTAAATATATAGTCAAACTAACCTATGAAGAATTAAGTGGTTTCTATGAACAGGTTGAAGCTTTACCATGTAAAATCAAAGAAACCAAACTTATCAAAGTAAGATTTGATTTTTATCACTTTCAATATAAGGTTTGGCTTTTGAAACATGTAGTAATCTATCTCATTTAGAAGGATATCAGATTGTGAGACATATTGCTTCAGCTTAGTTCAATGGCTTATCTTATACTGATAGAAAACTTGTCAAAGTGACAAGCACAGTTCTTTATAACTAAAAGCATCTAAGTTCAATTTTTTGTTGTGTGAAGTGAATAACTGTTCTGAAAAAGGCTGAAGAAAAGGAAAATGTAGCAAAACGTTTGTCTGTATTTCCTATATCTTGGCAAACATATTATCTTCACTTGGACAGTTTAGTGATCTATATTAAGGAAGGAAAATAACTTGACTTTCTTAATGATGTTATGAAAAACATTCTTTTTTCCCTTTCTTCTAGCACAATACTGAAATGTTGTCTTCTTTATTTAGGAGTTACTGAACAAAGTTGATGAATTTCAACTGGAAGCCCAGGCTTGTTTGGAAGCTGAAACACCAGATTCTGAAAAGATAGAAAAACTTATTGAAGTTGGGTTAACTTTGGATGTTGATTTACATGAAATTCCTAAATTACGTCAGGTAATATTTTTTCAATTATCTAGTACTGATGTCTGCACTTGAAGACATGGGAAATGACAGAAATAGAATGCAAGTTATCAGAGCTGTCTCAACAAAACTTATCAAACTGATGTTTTACGAGCACAACACTTTAATATTTGTAAAAAAGTAATAATTCTTTATTATGTCAAACTTTGAATTGGTCATGGCTTCACTCTCTTTAGAACCCAGATACTCCAATTCTGACCACAGGGACCTTTTCATTGTTATTTCTTTCATGGTCATTTCCACTGTCTACAAGTATAAAGTGGCTTGATATTTACATATTTCTGATTTATGTACTAAGATAAAAGATATTTTATTAGGTATTATTACAAGCTAAATGGTTAGATAATGTGAGACTAACATTACAAGATCCACCTAGTGTAACTCTAGATATAATGAGAAAGATGATAGAAGCTGGAGTTAGCCTAACACCACATCCTGCTGTAGAGAAAGCTATGAGTGAACTACAGGAACTACTCACTGTTAGTGAGAGATGGGAAGAGAAGGCTCGTATCTGTTTACAAGCTAGGTAAGTGACCTAGAATTGCTGTGTTTAGTAAATTGTAAAGGTGTCCTTGACTCTCCTAGGTTTACAAAGTATGTAAAAATGTAAAACAAATATTACTTTAAAGGTATATTTTTAAGTTGTCTATTCTTATACAAAGCATAGGTCATGATGGTGTTTTCGGTATTTTCACCTCGGTTTCACTCTAGAGAGGTAGGGCAGAGAGGGACAATGTAAATTCATTGTTATCTGGATTCTATAATCTGTTTCAGACCAAGACATGTAATGGTAACATTAGAAGGTATAATTAATGAATCTAAAGCTATACCAGCATACTTACCCAATGTTAGTGCTCTGAAAGAAGCTGTAAGGAAAGCTAGAGAGTGGACAAACAGAGTAGACTATATTCAGGTAACTTGAAAATGCTATGTGTTGAACCAATCTAAGATAAATTTCAGATCTATATCTGAGGGGGTTGATGAAATACAGTATGTAAAAAAAGGGTTTAAATGATATTTTATTTAGAAAGAGTTCACATGGATCATTCCACCTATTAGCTTTACAGTCTTGATTCCCAGTCCAAAGACTTTGATTTTGTTTCTAGTGAGTTAGAGCATGAAGGCTCTGACCTGAATACTACTCTGAAAACTAACTAAGTGCACTTTTAAGCTCACATAATTTAAATTGGTATTTATTTATACATTTATAAAAGTGAAATGGTGAATTTACTAGAATTGAAATACTTTCAGAACGCAGATTCCCACCCGTATGTTGATGTATTAGAAAGTTTAGTTAATAAAGGAAGACCTATACCAGTCAGATTAGATATATTACCACAAATAGAGGCACAGGTTACTACTGCTAAATCATGGCGTGAACGTACTGCTAGAACATTCCTTAAGAAAAATTCAACTTATACATTGCTAGAGGTAAGCGGATATTTCCTGAATTCTTTTTGATTTGAAATGGAAAGAAATGGCTATATATGTCTGTGATTTAATTATTTACATTGAATGATATAAGCTGAGCCTTTTGTCAAAAATTTAAAAGAAATGGAAAAGCCATTTTTTTCTATGTAATTAAACTATTATCAAGGATTTTTTAAATCAATTATTAGCCTATCGCCAAGTTTAATATGTTGTAATAATAATATTTATTTATTGAACAATTAAATAGTCTCAATAATATATTCATGCATCACATGCCAAACTAAAGAATATTGAAAAATAAATGCCAGTTAGTGTAAATGGAGTGATATTGAAATTCTATTAATTACCAAGCTTTATCTATAATATTTGTAGATACTGTCACCAAGGTCTGATATTGGTATATATAGTAGTGGTAAGAAAAGAAAGAAGTTAAGAGACGGTATAGAGAAGAGAGAATTGAATGAAAATAATAATAACAGTGAAATTAGAATAGAGGAAACTAGAGACCCAGCTGCTATTGTAAGATTTTTACTCTTTTGTACAAAATAACAAAATTTATTTGTTTTATAGTTTGCTATTCTGGAAAGCCTCAGTCCATAACTCTGCGTCATTAAAGCTGTAGAATTCAAAGACACCCCTTGATGATGACCTTTGCCTTCAAAACATTCAATTGTCAATTCCTCTTGACAAGATCAGTAACAGGGTCTTGTATATAGCCATGTAGGGAAATACATGAAAAAACAACGCCATTGTACAGGTCTCCCACGTTTGGCTTGGGACTTTTCAGCCAGCCCTTGTATAAGAAAACAATCTGTATTAAGCCGCAAATAGAAGAGGTACAGTGTAGATGCAGTGTACGGTACGGAATAATTGTTACAAACAAAAATAGAAGTGAACACAGGCAGTGTGGACACGATTTGTTTCTTATATTTTCTACTGCATCAATAATACTGCACCAGACACCGTACCACATCTATTCGCACCTTAATGATTTATGTATTACATGTATTTTAAGTTCATCTTTTGTTTTAATTTTTTTCTGGCTAGGTGGCATCATTTAAAGCAGCTGAGAATCAAGAGTTTGAACTAATGAAAGAGTTAAGAATACGTAATAGTGATAAAGTATTAAGTCAAGCTAGTGATGCTAGATTCTGTGTCTGTCGTAAAGGAGCTTCTGGTATGATGTTACAATGTGAACTCTGTAAAGACTGGTTTCATGGTAAGTTATTTCATAATAGGATTCCTAGGGTTTTTTGGCATAGTTATTTCCAAAGATTTTTAGTATGTCATGCAATTTTCATTTTTGCAAAAAAGTGATTCAAGACGATTTCTAATATACTTTTCATGCTTTCTTTCAGGAACTTGTGTACCACTTCCTAAATCATCCAATTTGAAAAATAAAACATCACAAGCAGCAGTGATGCAGGCTGCCAAAGATATGAAATTTTTGTGCCCACTTTGTTTGAGATCACGTCGTCCACGTTTGGAGGCCATCTTGTCTCTGTTAGTATCATTACAAAAACTGCCAGTGCGTCTGTTAGAGGGAGAAGCATTACAGTGTTTAACGGAACGTGCCATGGCCTGGCAGGACAGAGCTAGACAGGCATTAACCACAACAGAATTAGCTTCAGCTCTAGCGAAACTCAGTGTTTTGAGTCAAAAAATGGTGGAGCAAGCAGCTCGTGAAAAAACTGAGAAAATTATCAATGCAGAACTAATGAAAGCTGCAAGTAATCCTGATCTACAGGATCATCTAGCTAGTGTTACTCAGAGTGCGTTTAGTGGTATAAACACTATATCTAATGTGGTTAAAGAACACCCTGTGCCCACACCAGTGTATAGTAATATTGCTGCTGACACAGATAGTTCTCAATCTTCTATACCATTATCACCGCAATCATCTCAACATTCAGATGATATTCAATGTGATGTTGAGCAGACAGCACCTGTTAGTATGTCAATGGGAATGACATCAGAGCACGCTTACTCTTCTGTTTCTAAAGCTACAACTAGTAAGTTTTCATTTTATCTTTATGATTTCTTTAACTTTGATTATAGATATTCACAATTTTCATTTCAAAACCAAATTCAAGTTGAACAAAATTTTGAATATAGACTATTGAAATTCTTTTGATTGATTTCACTTTCAAATAAAGTTCTTTACCACTTTTTGCTGCAGTTCAACAGTCAATTTACAAGGTAACATATATGCACATGATAGTAAATTTACAAAAAGAGAAAACAAGTCAATAAGTAAACCAAGTACATGTACTAACGATCCGAACCGCAAAACAAAACCTGAAATCCAAAATATTTTGGTGAAATGTCTTTTCAATATCTTTTCCTCTTCCCACAGCAATGTCTCCAAGAAAACATCAGCGTAAAACTCCACTTATACCGAGACAATTAGAGACACCAACTTTAGAATTGTCATTAGAGGCTAGACAACAGCTGGAAGATCTGATGATGGAGGGAGACCTTCTGGAAGTGTCACTTGATGAAACACAACACATCTGGAGAATTTTACAAGCTTGCCAACCGAAAACAGAAGATAAATTCTTAGAATTTGAGGTAAACTTTAACATTATATTGTTAACCAAAATACAAGACTAGGACAACATAAATATTCCCTGTGTCTGAAAATGAATTTAATAAAAACATTATTACTCTGTTGTGCTTTTTCTGCATGTAACATTTTTATATGCAGTTCTAAAATCAATTGGTTGGGGATGAAGAATTCTGTTATATTTTTTCATGTAGTCAAATGCATATTTTTACTTTAACAGGATGCTGAGGGAACTGAACTGATACCAAGAGAAAAGATAGAAAAAATCAAACAAAAACTTCAAAGAGCTGAAAATAAAGAAAGGAAATTAAAACGCAAGAAAATAATTGGTGAAGCTGGTGAGATTATGTCACCAAAGAAAAATAAAATGTTGTGTATTGATCCTGATAAAGCTAAGAAAAAGAAGATCAAGATTAAGAAAGAACCTGGTCTTTTAGAACCAGGAGAGAAAGAAAATTCTGGTAGGTACAGGTTGAGAAAGTAATATCCTTGAGTATGTCACACTCTCACATAATACTGTTGTCCTAATAAGGAGTTTGTAACTGAAACCTGTGTTGTCAACTTGAGATAAACTGTAGTCAAAAAGAATGGAAGTTTGCAACCAAAAATGTACCAAGATGACTAGCCTATATGAGACGTATTTGTCGGAATGTTGCTGCATAAGTCTTCACAATATTTCTTATCCATATCTTAATTTGATAACCGTTAAAACTGAAGATACATAGATTAGCATGCGTGTTGAAAACACAAATCTAGAACAATGGTTTTCACAAAGGGTAAAAGTCCAAACTGGAAAATAAAGATTGTTTGATTCAATTGGTTTTAGCAAAGGGAGGTAAAAGTCCTGAGAAGAAGAAAGAAAAAGTGAAGAAGAAAAGAAAAGTGAAGGTGAATCCTGATGGTACACCAGTTGAAAGAAAGAAAAGGATTAAGAAGGAGAAGAAGATGATGGATGATGATGATGATGACCCATCTGAAGACTGTTCTGCTATAAAGTGCCTTCGACCTTCTGGTATGTTTTTAATCTTAGAATTTTCTGAACTTTGAAAACTTTTATTTGTTGTTTAGAATCATACATTCTGACAAAAAATAATTTCAGTCTTTGATTGATGTCTGGCCAAGAAAACCAAGATTTTTCTAATTTTTTTTTATTTTTATTTTAGGAGAGGAAGTCAATTGGGTTCAGTGTGACAAATGTGAACTTTGGTTTCATCTTCTCTGTATTGGTCTGGCTTCAGATGAAATTTCAGAGGAGGAGGATTATGTGTGTTTTAAATGTCAACAAATTTTACAGGGAGTTGTCTCCCCTTACCCACACATTAAACAAGAGGAAGACTTTTTACCGTCATCAACAACCAATACCATGCAAGATACAATGAGTAGCATGCCTGAGAACAGTTCTCAGGATTTCCAACCAGTTAATCAAGAAGATTCTCTGACTTGCGACCCAGTGAACTTGACAAAGGAGACTACTTCAATTACCAACACAATGGATATCAATGTGGAAGATAATTCAATGGACACTACATGTGAGGACACTGTGGAATCTGAAATACTGGATAATAGTGCTGAAACTAATGAAGAACAGTTACATGCCCCTGAGGAAGAACTCTCTAGTGAGGAGGAGGAGGAAGAAGAGGAGGAAGAGGAAGAATTTGAAGAAGGTCCACAAATAGAGGATATTGTGAATAATGTAACAGACAATGCTATGGACTATGATAGTGTACAAAATCAGGAAACGGATCAAACGTCGACATCTACTTCTCTCTTTGGACCCCACCCCTCTTGAATGAAAATAAGTTCTAGATTTTAATATATTTATGTACGAAAGCCATTTTTGTAGTTACTTTGTGTTTTTGGTCGAGTCAGTCAGAAAGATTTTATAAATCTTTATGAAGACACTCTTTCTTTTCATCATTTCATTTTGGCTTGCATGTAGACTTGCATGGTTTATAAAAATATCATTGTATGTGTCCTAAAAAATATCACTCAGTAGATCATTTCATTTTACTTTCTGACACTATATAAATCAACGCGTTTAAACATCAGACATTGTTGACTGATTTGTATGGACTTGTAACTCAAAGCTTAAGATTTCACATTTGGTAGAATTTACAAATATATAATTCAACATCACAATAGTTACACTAAAATAAAATGTAGAATTATCAAAGGTTTGATATGTTTTGGTTTCCTTTGAAACCTTTCAGATTTAAAATTCCAGCAACAAGCAGTAGAAATACAGATAAAATTAATCTGAATTCAATTTATTTTTTATTTTGTTTATCTTTTTATTGTTAGCTGTGTTTTTGTTGTTGTAATTAAGTATGTTTATTGTATATAAGAAAGTTTCATCAACATATTATTTATTTATAACCTATCATTTTTCTTCATGTAATTTTCTTCTTCATTTCTGTCTAGTTATGTCATTTTCTCCTTGAACAGCTGCAAAGTGCAGTTGTTTCCAAAATGTTTTTTTTGTGTATTTATTAAGGCTATTGTTTTGTTTGTGTTAACCTAAGAAACATCCTACTGTTGTATGAAAAACTTCAAATCATACAAAATATTTGTGTTTTAAACAAATTTAGTTATTAACATCCTATTTTTGTCCAGTTATTTTATGTATCTTTTAAAAGTAAATCACTGCAATGTGTACAAGCTGAACTGGTAAAATCATCAGAAGTAGCCAATGATCATCTCGTGACACAACATTTTCCCTTGTATATCTCATAGATCTTATAGCAACAATATTCAATAAAATAGAAAATAAAATCAATGTAGATAAGTAAGACATTGTGTACCAGTAAAAAAAGTAAAGTAAAGTCAGAAATGGTACAAAAATCATTCAACATTTTGCAGTTTCTTTCATATCAATGCCATTAAATGCAACTGAGAATCATATGTTAAAGTGTAAAACTTGTTGTATAAAGTGTTTTCTTGTCATTTAAACCATTTCAATGTTTTTACATCTATATAATTAGAATTATCATACAAATAATTAAATGTATCAGAACTATGTATGTGTTTATTATGTTCCTTATTTACTTCTCACATAGGTCAATATTTTAACCAAAAATGTGATAATCATAAAAAACACGATTCTTTCGGTTATATCAATGTCAGTTGTCATAATAATGTATACCAGCCGCGTTCAGACTCTCAGCTAAATGAAATGCAACTCGATTTTCACTAAACATATGTTCATTAAACAAAAACAACTTAATATGCTTATTGAATGAATTAACATTATTCAAAAAATAAACCTTATGACATTACAAAATTTACATTGTTCAATATTGTATACAAAATTTACATTATTACATATCAAGTACAAAAATTAAATTATTACATATGTACAATATAATACATTATTTTACATCTTGAACACAATTTACATAATTACATATCATGTACAAAAATTACATTATTTCATATCATATACAAAAATTACATTATTTCATATCATATACAAAATTTACATTATTACAAATCATGTTCAAAATTTACATTATTTCACATCATGAACAAAATTTACATTATTACATTTCATGTACAAAATTTACATTATTTCATATCATATACAAAATTTACATTATTACATATGTTCAAAATTAACATTATTTCATATATACAAAATTTACATTATTACATATAATATACAAAGTTACATTCTTACACATCATAAAATAAAAAAAAAAAATATGCATTTCAAGAAGACGAAAAAGGAATGTATTTAAAACTCTATTTATATCCTTTGGAAACCAACAAACACCAGATTAAACCTTATGGATTTAAAATTAAATTGTCTTAAAACTGCTACGGGTGTAACTATCTCTACATCGGTAGTTTCATGGTCTATTTCGATACCGGCTTTAACGCTGGAGACGGTTACTTCTTCTGTGTCCTGCCATCCGGAGCGCGTCAACAAATTACCAACATTTTCGTCATCAGAGGCACGCACTATAGTTCGTTTTGTGACACGGCCCTCGGTACATATGGAGACGTTGATATAAACATCGAGTTCAACGCTCATTTTCTCACATTTGTAGTACCGTTATCAAAAACATCGTGGAACTAGCCTTTTGTCTCATTAGCGCTGACTGACCATTCAACAGTGAACGCTTTCGCTAAGCGAGTACAACTTATCAACCGAGTTACGTCCCTTTAGGATTTCGTGTTGAAATTTTTACATCGGCGGACACAGTAAGAATAAAAAAAAATAGATTTTTTCATTTTTATTTTTATTGGGATTCGTCAAAAAAGCAGGTCGGCGGGCCCGTAATCCAAGTTTATAAATTGGTGTCGCCTTATATACAAAATAAATCTTATGACATGACAAAATTTACATTGTTCAAAATTTACATTCTTATCATGTTCAAAATTTTCACTATTACATATCATATACGAAATTTACATTATTTAACATCATGAACAAAACTTACATTATTTACATCATGAACAAAATTTCGTACAAATTCACAATTTTTCACATGATGCCTACAAATATACATTTGAATTAAACTAGCCGGTTTCGCTCAATATTGAAATTTACATTGATTATAATAGTCTCATCGTTTATATAAGGGTTTTCTTTCACCCTCCTTACACCACAAACAACCATCTCCTGTATGACCCCAAAATCCTTTACATTCTTGAAAATACACTGTCAAATTGCTTCGTGCTTTTATATTTCCCAGACTTTGTAAAAGTTTCTGATATGGCATTCTAGGCAAATTCCACATGAACGGCTCTTCTTCGACATTTGCGGAAATGCCAATCTGTATAGTAGAGCCATTCCATGGGTCCCAGGAATCTGTCAAAGTTTGGTAATTTCCAAATCTGGAGCCGGAGTCACTTTTAAGAGTCAAATTATCGCTATCGCCTTCACTTTCATCCGACAAAAAGTCAAAACACATAACATAGTCTGAGTCTAAATCAGCGCACGTTTCAGGTTCAATTTCTCCAGATTTTTCCATGATTTCGTTTTTATTAAAGTCTTTAACATTTAATTCGCCCACTTCAGAAAAATTCGTCTCATCGCTGTCCAAACTTTTACACCTTCGAAATAGTTTTGATTTGCCTTGTCTCCCTTTTTGTTTGACCATTTTCCGCTTTCCGGTTTTTGTTTGAAGGTTTTGACAACATTGACAAGAGCATTCGGACAATATAATGTCCAAATCTTCAATATTTTGAACACTAGCAATGGTAGCATTCTCATCTTTCTCACAATTATTTCCACGTTTTTTGCTGAAGCCAGGCATCATACTAATTTTGCAGTTATTTGTGAGCTACTTCCCAAAATATACAATATACAATTTTATTGTTTATAACCGGTTAATAGGCATTTTTTCTATATTCACTCTTTTATAAGGGTCTATCCTGTATCGTCGTTGTACAAATACTAATAATCTTTCTGCCGATCCCTAGTTTTTATAATGTCAGTTATATCATAGATAAAACGTTTATTCATTCATAGGTCGAACGATTTAGTTGTTTATAGTTCATTACGATGACCACGTGATTAGCCATAGCAAATCATTTTCCAATCGTCAATACTTCGCAGAGTCCGATAGCTTCGCGGATTTTTTATTCTTCGCGGAGCTGTTGAAGATGACGTCAGTTTCAGGAACATTATTTATAATTAGCCAGTTATTTTCCAAAAAAGTCAATGGCTTTAGGAAAACTTCATGGATTTATGAAGGAAATTCTCTGAAATTAAATATTCTTCATTCTCAATTCTTATATTTAATTGTGGGTTAATTTATAAACGTCCGATTATTGACTTTTTATTGCAGCCTGCGTGATAAAAACGTGCTTTTCAATTCGCGAATATCAAGTCTCAAATGTCTTATCGGAGTGTCGGAGGAATCATGACACCGGGGGTCAGTCTTATTCACGTCTGGTAGATATTTGATCATATATCAAATACAAGAATTTTTCTTTAGCAACTCATTTTACTTGACTTCTGGAAATAAATTTTTCTAGGGTCAGTCAGATGAACTGTAACTGCCTAATACACCTATCGAATGGTATGTAAGATTCATAATGTTTTCGGTTACTTCTGGTGGCTTATCTGATTCAAATAAAAACCACAATGCTAATGCTATACCTGGTTTTGTTGCGTTGTAGTGTAATTATTATAGACTGTTTGGTTAAATGATGGTTAAAAGATTAAATGGTAATGCAAAATGAAATGAACACAACGAAACAATAGTCTAGGCCTGTAACAATGAGAACTTACTTCAGTTCTAAACTTAGCAGCTCGGGTCCAATATAGGGACTGGTTGAACCAAGTTCACTGGTACAACTCCCTTATGGACGCCCGACCCCAAGAAAAAAATATCTTAAAGTTTAACACACAATATAAAATGGTTTTTATGCTTGGACTCTACCAAGGCCATTAAATCCTGATTCAAAGAAAAGTAATCATCCTATGGGAGGGGTACCAACCCATCTAGGTCTACGGGCCCCCACCCATCTAGTTGAGCCTCTGGGCAGGGGGGAGACTTGTAAAATTAAGGCAACAGTTTCACCATGGTCCGAAAATGAAAGTCAAATGAAAGTCAAAACTATTCGACATAATCCCTCTATTGTCCAATAAATAAAAAAAAAATAAAATGAATAAAAAAAAGTAATAGCAATAGTATTGGTAATAATCTATTTAACTAAGTAATATGATATTTAAATGAAATTTTTAGTGTACAAGTGTAGATATACAAGCTTATTCAGATAGTCTTAGATCATAAAGTTTCTGTTAACCGTGTTTTATCTACAGGCTCATCTTGTTTTGGATGAAGAGGTTTCATAATGTCTATCTCGATTTCAGCGTTTGGTGGGAGAGCCCACTCTTGAACTGCACCTCTTGCAAATGATCCAAAT